AGCCTCCGAGTGCTCCTCAAGGGGAGCCCCATGTAGAGAGCATTACAGTAGTCCAGGCGGGAGGTGACAAGAGCATGAGTGACTGTGCGCAAGGCATCCCGGTCTAGAAAAGGCCGCAACTGGTGCACCAGGCGTACCCGGTAAAACGCCCCCCTGGCCACAGCCGCCAACTGGTCGTCCAGTGTCAGCCGTGGGTCCAAAAGGACCCCCAAGTTGCGAACCCTCTCCGAGGGGGCCAAGGTTTCGCCCCCTATAGTCAGCGATGGAATCAGCTGACCATACCTGGGAGCCGGCAACCACAACCACTCAGTCTTGGAAGGGTTGAGCCTGAGTCTGTTTCTCCCCATCCAGTAATGCCAACGTTATCTTAGTCTCTTCAAAGCTCAAGTGTTAACTCTAGTTGCAAGTAGCTATAATTAAAAATAGTGTCATGCATTTATTCATTTAAAAATTTTTCAACTACACTTGAAGCTAAGTGAACAGGGAATCACTGGAAGCACTGCTGTTTTTCCTTATATACTGTGCTCATTTCCCCCCCAAGGAAAGTGATATTTTTACCGCTGTCCCATGTAAATGTTAGCGTGAGGTCATATGACTGTGACTTGCAATTTCCTGCCAGCTTCCCTATTAATGGCTGTAAGGGCCATAAATGGCGATCACATGACTGTGGGATGCTGTGACTATTGTAAATATGACAATTGTAAACATGCACCAGTTGCCAAGAGCCTGAATTGTGATAGATGCTGCAATGGCTACAAATTCAAAGACTAATCATAAACCTACTTTTGGAGGGCATTCTAACTTTGAACAGACATTGAACAAGCAGTTGGTAAACAAGGACTACCTTTATATCACACATATCAGTAAAATTAGGATCATTTTGCTTTTCATGAATTATGTCATGCAATACTCATATATGGTGCTGCAAGTCTGGAAACAGGATTTTATAAAGATAATTCATAATATATAACATTTTTATTATGAAATTCTGATTTTAAAATTTGAAATAACGTATAATTTGTATAACGTAAATTCTGGAAGATCAATTGAATTACTAGGAATTTTAATTTGTTTTTAGTGTGCATTCTACGTTTAACCTTTTAAAAAGATTTTGAAGTCAGATGATTTGTACATTTGAAATTTTTAGCTGGTAAAGCAGAAATAGGTTACTCTGGGTCAAATGCAATGAGAAGAGATAAGCTCTGCTAATATTTCATGCTCAAAAAACTCTCAACTGACAGTGATAGGTAAATAATTTCTTAAATTAATTTTCACATCTGTTTAATAATTTGTTTTGCAAATCTTTCTCTTACTTTAATTTAATTATCCTGATAGAATGTACTGGATAAATGATATAAAATTCTTTTTTCCCAGAAAAACAAAGCAAAATAGTCTGATTGAAACAATACCTTCTATTGTTTCCACTGATCTTATTTATATTGCCTGTATTTTCTTACCAACCTCTATCTGCAAACGTGCCCTCTTTAATTGACAACACATTTCAAATTATTGTCGAATGCTGTATATTGAATAAATTATGTCATGGGACTAATAAATTAATAAACAGCATAAATAAAAATGTAAATGCCAGTAATCATGCTTATGATTGATTCTGAAATTAGAAAAGGATGAAACAAATTGTGAGCTTTCTTTCCGAATCTTTCTTTAAATGTACTTTCCAATTTCACATCAGTACACAGGAACATCTATTAGTTTAGGCAAGACCCATCATCCTCCAGCATCTTTTTGTCAAAATCATTCCTTGAAAGCAGAAAATGGACACTTACCTTTCTCTTATCGCTGTTGCCTTGCAACTTCTATTTGGAGATATGCTATTCCTAATGTGGAGGTGACATGACTGGTCCTTGACAGATACCTCCTTAATAATTTATCCAGGGCACTCTTCAAGCCATCGTATTGTTTTGTTGTAACAAATTCTACTAGATTCAGCTTAGTGTGGCTATTGTATCAGGATTAGATTAATGCTAAAAACTTTAATTTGAACTTATTCATCATGTTTGAATTCTAGTTTCAAACCATGGCCAAGATGACCACTTTCTACAGGGGGAAATATTTCCCCCTGTAGAAATACTTTGTATATATATATGTATATATATGTAGAAATATTGATGGACAATATTTAATATTTATTTGCTACGTATATGTAGGGATGTAGGTCTATACATAAGTTGTTCATAGTATGTTTAGGTGTGTGTCATGTATATGTTTCACTTTGAGAGCGGGCAACTAAATTTCATTTTTGATGTGTGCCATTGTGCTCACAGTATAAAAATGACCATAAAGGTTATCTTATCTTATCTTATATAAGTGACAATATAATATTTAACCATGTTTAAATCCAATTGAAAAATGTGCAGTGGAAAAAAACCATAAAACTACGGTCAGTTCCTAGATTCTCATTTATAACTTTGAGAACATTGGCAAGTATCAAGATTTAGTTGTGTATATTTATATTATTTCAGCATTCAGTGTTTGTGATATATATGTTACCTTTTTAGCAATAGTTTCTGGTGGTACATCTCGCCTTCCAAGGGGATATGGATTCCATTGGCTGCCAGTAGAAATATCTTCCTGTCCATTGTCTAAAATGCTGCTTTGTTGTGATGGGGTCTATTTTTAAAATATTGATACATTACTTAGAATAATACAAATACCTCTTTTTGATTTACTAACAGTTACTTTATAATTGCATAGACACAATACATATCTTGCAGTTTACTAATTATGCAAACACATATATATTGATATATACACACATACTTACATATATTAAAATAATATACTTTTATAGGTTGCTGTAAAAAATTGGATAAAGACCTTAATAGACTTCCAAAGAATATGTAGAAGGTTGCAATATCAGAATATTTCCACTGTTTAAATATGGTTAAGATAGAGGGCTTGGTTTCTATTTCTAAATACTTTATAAAATACTTTATACTACCAAATGGAGAAAAAATGATCACATTCTTTCTCCCATCCAAAATATAATAATAATAATAATAATAATAATAATAATAATAATAATAATAATAATAATAATAATAATAATAATAATAATAATAATAATAATAATAATGTCTTCTAGTCCAACTCCCTGCTCAGGCAGGAAACCCTATAACATTTCAGACAAATGGTTGTCCAGTCTCTTCTTAAAAACTTCCAGTGTTGAAGCATTCACAACTTCTAGAGGCAGGTTGTTCCACTGATTAATTGTTCTATCTGTCAGGAAATTTCTCCTTAGTTCTAGGTTGCTTCTCTCTTTGGTTAGTTTCCTTCCATTGCTTCTTGTCCTGCCTTCGGGTGCTTTGGAGAATAGCTTAACTCCCTCTGCTTTGTGTCAACCCCTGAGATATTGCTATCATGTCACCCCTCGAACTTCTCTTCATTAAACTAGACATACCCAATTCCAGCAACCGTTCTTTATATGTTTTAGCCTCCAGTCCCCTAATCATCTTTGTTGCTCTTCTCTGTACTCTTTCTAGAGTCTCAACATCTTTTTTACATCGTGGTGACCAAAACTGGATGGCCTTACCAAGGCATTGTAAAGTGGTATTAACAATTCACGTGATCTTGATTCTCTTTCTCTGTTAATGCAGCCTAGCACTGTGTTGGCTTTTTTGGTAGCTGCAGCATACGGCTGGCTCATATTTAAGTGATTGTCCACTAGGACTCCGAGATCCCTCTCACAGTTACTACTATTGAGCAAGGTGCCACCTATACTGTACCTGTGCACTTGGTTTTTCTTGCCTATAATTTAATGTTAGAATGGAACTATAATTATTTAAAGCTGCCCAGTGTCGCTATATCAGTGATATTGGTGGCAGATGGATGGATGGATGAATGAATGAATGAATGAGGATTGTTCAGGTAGTCCTCAACTTATGACCACAATTGAGCCCAAAATTTTTGTTGTTAAGTGAGACATTTAGTAAGTGAGCTTTGCCCCATTTTATGACCTCTCTTGCCTCAGTTGTTAAGTGAATCATTGCAATTGATAATTTAGCAACCTGTTATTAAGTGAATCTGGCTTCCCCATTGACTTTGCTTTCAGAAGGTCGCAAAAGGTTATTACATGACCTTGGGACACAACAATGGGCATAAATATGAAACAGTTGACAAGCATCTGAATTTTGATCAGGTGACCCTGGGGATGCTGCAAAAGTCGTAACTGTGAAAAATGGTCATTAGTCACTTTTTTCAGTGCCATTGGAACTTTGGTCACTAAACAAACTGTTGTAAGCCAAGGACTACTAGAACGATATAATCTTTGTGGTGCCATAGTAACTTTTACATTACAAAAAAGAAAGGGCTGGTTCAAGTAGAGGAAGAATTAAAAAAAAGAGAGATTATATGACATCCATTATGGTAGGTGAATAATTTCTGTATTTAAAGATTGAATTACTAATTTTAGATGCAGCAAGATCTTGCAAGATCTTGATACTGTTACTGCAATATGGTATAATGGCTCCTAATGTCCAGAGAATAAAAGCCTTTGGAGTCTGAAATACAGGTTCTTTTACTGCATTTGTCTATATGAAAACATAAAGATAAGAATGATAAAACAACCGTAGGAAGAATAATCATATACTCCCAATTAAATACATCATAAAAAAATGAATAAACTTTATCAGAGTCAAACTTTTTTGCAGCAGAATTTGACATATCAGGAAAAAAAATATCCCAGGCATTCTTTGTAAAACATTTAATTAAGAAACTATATGTAGGTTGAAACTGCCAGCCAAATGAGCCTTGAAAGGATACAACTGCTTTAAATTGAAAATGCCCATTTTGTAACATTTTTTTCTGAATGCCTAGTACAGCCCTTTCCCCCAACTTTAATTAATCTTTAATGAATGAATGAATCTTCATTAGAGAGTTTTACATGGAGACTTGATCACCATTTTATTAAGTGAACCTTTTAATCAAGGAATGTCCTATTCACAGGAAGATCAACGGACGACTGAAATTAATGATTAGCTTAAACTCCTCATAGTATTACCAAAACATCTTATGCATAGTTTGATTGCTTGTAAAGAAGCAATCAAATGCTTTTTAATAACACACTCATTTCCTTTCTTTAATTATAAATATTCTTGGCATTATCAGCCTTACTTGGCCGAGGCAAATAAATATGCACATGTTTTATACTTTAAAGGTGGGAGACAAGGAATCATAAATGTGTTTAAAGTCAAATCCTGAAAAAGAATCTAGTAAATTTCTAATCCAAAGGAAATCCTATGCCTTTACTTTAGAACGGGGGTGTGAAACTGCTGGCCCGTGGGCCGGTTGCATCATACGGAGGCCGCACCCACCCCAACTCCGCAATGCAAAAAAAGTGGCTATTCATCGCGACACGTCACATGATGTGGTGAGTTTGACACCTGTGCTCTAGAACATTTCACTGTATGTTTGGGAACAAACCTTAAGCAATACAGTCTGGCATGAATCCAATGACTGTATTTATAGGAATCCAATTTCATTTTAAGTGGGTAAACAAGAGCTTTCATGAGATATAAGTATTCTTCTATTTACACTGTATTCCTACATGCCATGGTCTTAAGTTAAAATTTGATTATTATTTTCCATTAATAGGAGAGAATCATACTAAGATGCCAGAATCACATTACATGAAAACTACACAAAACAGTTCAATTTAAGGAACAATTCATTAGTTATTCCAATTTCCAGTTCATATGTAGAAATGCAAAATCAACTCAATGATAAAAAAGAAGATATATATCATTGTGGAAAATCAAAATATTATAGTTATTTCAATGCCAAGACCCACTAGCTTGTTTCAATGATGTGCAACACCCTTTAATACACTAAGAAAAAACATACACCTGCTCACAACAGGGTGGTTCTTTAAAAAAAAATAGAAATAAAAGGAAAGAGCATTATTAATGTTGCTAATTGTAGAAAGCACAAAGAGAGGAATCAACATCATAAGTATCTGCAATGATACAAAGTGGATAAGGGTCAAAATGTGCACTGCGATTGCATGATAAAAGTCCCATTACTTATGTACTTGTGTTCTGTGTCAGGACACAAGTACAAAAAATATAATTTGGATTTAATAATTCATATCCTCTATTCAGAACCATCTTTTTGCCAATTTGTGTGCACTTGAACAAGTTAAAAGTATGTTGAATCTTATAATATATTTTGGAATATACCACTTACACAATCACTAAAGAAGCCTATTTCTTTCTGGCCAAGAAACTGAATGGATTAATTTGAACTTCATTGAGAACTTTCTGTAAAATGTTGTGGGATATACTGTATCCCATCCCGATTTTTAAATACACATGGGGTTTGATACAACATATAGCTAACTCTACAACAGTTTACATAAAGGAACACACAAATACAGTAAAAGATATGAGCAGGACATACATCTGACATTTCTCTTGAGTTAAAACTATAAGCTAGTCTTAATCAGGGCACACAACGTAGTATCTGTAGATTCTGATTCCTGGAATGCTGTCTTAAATTAAAAGAATTTGTGATGCACTTTTGATAGTAGTGTTAGGCACCTGAATCATACTAACGCCCCTGACATCTCTAAACATTGACAACATGAAACATAACTCTTAGATCTTTCTGGTTAACACATGGAGTTCTGTACATCAGTCTGCAAGAGAAGAGCAGAAAGCAACATGACAGAGATGTGGTGAGCCAAATTACTTGGAGAAGCAGAGAAGTCACATTTAGGTTTAACTTCACTTTTTGGGTCGCTTTTGGCACACAAGCATGAATAATAGAAATGAGCTAAAGAGGAAGAGGGGTATGGAAGAGTATTTATTATGTGACTTTGATATATGCAAGCTATCTCATACTTACTTTCGGTAGAGGTAGCTCTTGATGCATTTGGTTTTCAAATTTAGATTTAGTCTGCAAGTTTAATGTCATGCTTCTGCCCGCATGCATTGCTGACAAACCTCCAGAGCGCAGCATGCCAAGGTTAACAGTGTTGTGTTTATAAGCAGCAGTCTGAGTAGAGGAAATAACAATCACGTGACGAGATATGAACACACATGCTTCTTCAGAAAAAAATACTGCACATATATGATTTTCACAGTCTCAATTAAAGCAAACGAACAATACCAAGAAATAAGGAGCTTATTTATGCATGCACTGTGAGACAGAAGCACAGAGAGTGCTAGTTGTACATAAAATGGTTACAGTACCATAAAAAGACACTGACAGAAAAAAAGCAAACTTCATACCTCTAAATGGCCTCTAAATCATGGCTGATATACAAAACCAAGTTAACTTTGTGGGGAAGGAAACACTGAGATGCTGTATTTACCTCTTTACAATAAAATATCATATGTCATCTCAGAAACTAAATAAATTGGGAAAATGATACAGAAAGTCCAGAGCACTTTGGGAAAGAAAAAGGATTTTGAACCACCAAATTTGGGGGAAGAAAAAAAAATGTTTAAAAACTCAAATAAAACAATACTTTTTTGTGAATAAACTTAACCACACCAAAACATCATGTGGCTGGATATTTGAATCTTTCACAACTGGTATATTAGTTGCTAAATGTCAGTAATCCCAAGAGGTGAATATCACACAGAACACAAGACATCTTAAAATTGATTGTACTCAACATCCTGCTGTATATTGGAACGTATAGTATATTATTTCTGGGTCAATTATGATGAATACATACTGGCAAAAGATTATGCATTGTATACTATCTGGAATCTAATTGAGAAAAAGCATAGAGATCCTGACTTACTCCATTCCCATTAAGTTCTCCAAATTGGCTACACTGATTTAGTATATTCCTATATAGAATTATGACGATAATGGAACTCATCGCAGTCATAAGTCGTGCTGGTTGTAAATTAGGCCACCCACATTGCCAGCCTAATTTTACAACCTTTTATGCAGTGTTGTTAAGCAACTTCTACAGTCATTAAGTGACTGCTGCAGTCCTTAAGCAAACACTGAGGTTGTTAAGTGAACACTGTCGTCATTAAACAAACCAATGATTCACTATGGCCAGTTTTGCCGAAAACTGGAAATGCTGGTTCTCCAGGGGAGAAGTGCAACCCCATCTAAGACTAAAGATAGAATTGGGGGAAGGGGCACTGTTGCAAATATCCAGAATTCCTTGGTCTTGTCAAGATTCAGTCCATTCCTCCCCTTAATCGCCAACCTCTAGACACACACACAGGATGATAGCATCACACAGAAAGTTATAAGCACTGCTAAAAGCCTTCTCTCTAGTGTCATATTTATATAGCAATATCTCTTCTTTTTAAAAGAAGCACAAATGCCAAATTATATTCCTTCATATATGCATTAAAAGAAAAAGAAAACAAACTAACCAAAGAATAATGTTCACAGCTTGCAATAGCCAATTCTTCTTGCTTTTCTTTTCCCCAGCATTCAGATTTAGGATCGACAGTCAATCTTAGATCTGAGCCTTTTAGCAGCATATAGCAAAACAAAAAACAAACCTCGAGAAATAAAGATATTTGTTTTCTTTCTGCTTTCTGAGCTCCCTTTCTTTGTCTTCTAAACTAATGCACTTTTTTCCAGGGATTAGAATATGAGCTTTATTGTTCAGAATGATGATTCACTGCAGCATATATATTTTTTAGAATCTACTTTGAACTATGATTTTTTTTCCAGTATTAATCTCTTCCCATATGAGATTGCAATTAATTTGAGCTTAGGAAAATAACTTTTATTTGACTGATTCACACTGGCAGTCAGAAACTGTGGGTTAACATTTTAGTCATTTATTTAAGCACATCAGTTTCTTAAAAACACAAAAAAAGGACCAAGAGACTTCAGGCAGACAATGTGGAAAATAAATGTGATGAAAAATATAATTTAAATCATAGTACCATTATCTAAAGCTTTTTTTATAATGAGGTGGCATATGACAGTCAGTTTGGTGTAATCGTTAAGGCCTAGAAACCAGGAGCCTGTGAGTTCTAGTCCTGCTTTACGCACGAAAGCTGGCTGGGTGATTTCAGGCCAGTTACTCTTTCTCAGACTAACCAACCTAACATGGTTATTGTTGTGGAGAAAATAGGAGGGGGAGGGAGTACTAGGTATGTTCACTACTTTGAGTTATTTTTAAAGTAATAAAGGTGGGATAAAAATCTAATTAATAAACATATACATACTGTACATATGATGCTTTTCATCTCAGAGGATCAACTGTATCAAAGGATACAGTTCCATGTCCATAAAAATATGAATGGTATGAGTGATCAATACTGCAATATTTAGCCATTTACATAATTTTAATACTTTGTTGATGTAATAAATAGAAGGGCATAACTTTGAGGGCAGGAGGAAGAGATGCAACTAAGACAACGGTCAGATAAAAGAAATTTTGAGTCCAGGGAAGAACTGTAACCTGAAGAAAAGTCTCAGACAAGGTGCTCATAAGATAAAGGAAGAGAGATGGGGAAGCGCATTCAGACTTGCAAGATTCTGTTTCTATAATCTTATAATAAAAGGAATTCAAGTCCCGTCTTAGCCATGAAAGCCAGCTGAGTGATTTTGGCCCAGTCACTTTCTCTCAGCCCAACCTACCTCACAGAGTTTTTGTTGTGGGGAAAATAGGAGGAGGAACATATGCTGGATATGTTTGCCATCTTGAGTTATTTATAAAAATAATAAAGGTGGTATACAAATAAATAAATTAGTATGCATGGCTTTGGTTTCTTAGTCTGGTCTATTTTGAAGGGTTGACAAGTCTCCCACTGCTGCATTCATTAATGGGGGGAGGGCTAACAAGGTCAGCATAAAAGGCAACTCCTTAAAAAATAAGACAATCTATAATATGGACAAAATTGCCCTCAAAATGATAAGTAGCAACTATACAAAATTATGTGCCTGCAAAATTCCAACCTTCACTCACAATGTATCTTTCTTCTGTGCTATATGGAGCAACCAGGTCCAAGAAACTCAGCACAAAAAGGAATTCTATAGGAGGGAATTCCAAAATAATGGGAGCAGTAATTAAAGATGCCCACTTCTGAAGTCCCATTGAGATAAGTCTCATATTAGACGGGGCCTGGCAGGACTTGACTATTCAGTTTGATTATAACAGAAGGTGATTCCTTAAATAATTTGAACTGGAGTCATCTAAGGTCCTAAAGATGACAAAACCTTGTACTGCACTTGGAAACTAAATGGTAGTCCACACAGCTCCCAAAACAATAGAGTCTGCCAAATATATTAGGATGTCCATCCTTGTTTGCGCTGCTGAATTTTGTACCAGTTGTAGCTTTCCAAGGAGAGCCCCATATAGAGCACATGATAGTTATCCTAGTGAGAGGTGACTATGGCATGTGACTGTTTATGAGCTTATCAATTCTACTACTTTTCACTTCTCTGTTCCTGCTTATTCACATTCAAAAAAATTTCCTGCAGAAAGTTCCAATTGTGTGTTGTAGAAATATGCATTTATAAACATGAATGGAAAAGTGAAGGTGAAGGGAGGTGGTTTGGATTTTGTAAACTTCTACTTCCAAACTTTTAATCACTGTAAAGGTATCAGTGCTTCATTTTCTAAACTCCTCTCCAATATGGCTGTTCCAACGATAAGGACGTTAAACCACTTTGATTAAACATAAGTTCCTAAACACTTTCAACTAGATTAACCCCATGCAGGTTTCGAGTTTTCATTTCCTGATGATTTAGCACTGAAATTACAATCAAAAACATTATAATTCTGCTTTCCTAGGACTGTACAAATCAACAATGTATATTTCTTGGGTCCATGAAAACTAGATAAGCTAGAAACTGGCTAGAAACTGGGAGCCTGTGAGTTCTAGTTTTACCTTAGTTACAAAGCCAGTAGGGTAGTCTTAGTCCAATCACTTTTTCTCAGCCCTACAAAAAGGCAATGGCAGTTCTGGAAAATCCTTGCTAAGAAAACTTCTGGAACTTGTCCAGGCAGCCTCCGAAAATCAGATACAATTGAACAGAAAAAAAGTGACAGAAAATTTGAACATAAGGAAAATATGAATCATATAGACTACTACATGATTCATATTTTCCAAAATAATTGAAATATTTTTTCTAGCATATTTATCTCAATTTTGCACTTCTTTTACAAAAATCTACAGAGATGAACTTCATACTTAACCTATAATCTAGATCGGGGGTCCCCAACCCCCGGTCCATGGACTGGTACCGGGCCGCAGCATGCCAGCAACCGGTCCACACAAACAAGCAAAGCCCCATCCGTGGGATGCAGGCAGCACACAAAACCATGTACCCTCTGGTTTGTGGAAAAACCTCTCTCCACGGAACTGGGCCCTGGTGCCCAAAAGGTTGGGGACCTCTGATCTAGGTCTTCCAACAAATCAAAAGTAATATATGTAGACATTTACTGTAGTTATCTCACTTTTTAAACATTTAAATATTTTTACACTTTAACTACAAAATGCAGTTTAAGACAAAAACCAAACAAACCCCAATTCTGCAATTCTTTCAGTGTGGTTCAGTGTAATTTTCTAAGAACATCCTTAGATGTTCCCTTTTCTTATACACTATTATAAAGTTATAATTTCAGGTGGAAATGGTATTTTTTTAATCCTTTCAAACTGTTATCCTACTATGCATGTCTGCTTATCTCTATTGCTTTTACTCTCAGTGGATAAAGAGTTATAAGTAGCTGTATTTTGCATGGAATTCATAGGCCTGGGAATTATGAATTCATTTCACAATGAAAACAGCAGTAAAGGAAAGATATAGAGAAATTTTCCCTGCAACAGCGTTGTGCTAAAATTTACAAGTTCAGGCTGAATTAGTTGTGAAAAATAGAGTCAGAGAAAATCCTAAAACCATATGTGATGCACTATTCCTTCCTCTGCATATAGGGCTTCTAAATTATTTATTGCTATTTCAGTTACCGTAAAGCATTTTATTCAAAGAGTAAACATCCTAATTAAGGCTCCAAATAATACACTGACTTGTAATTATGTCTACCTAAAACACCAACTTCCATTGAGTTAATCTGTACATTTACCAGACAATATTTGTTACTTAATAACATCTTTTTTATGTACATTTGGAATGTAACTAAGAGTTAGCCTACTCCGAGTTTGTTTTTTTTTACTTAGGTAAAATTCCTAAATATACCTATATAGACTGTAAATTAAACTTAAATCAATTAATTTACTTCCAAATACACTGGTTTAAGGCTTAGGTATCAGAACGTCAACATGTAATTAATTCCTGTAATTGATCTTCTATCGTGGGTAAGAAAATCAACAAATTATTGAGCCATAATTGAATGACACATCTATCATTGTGCAACAAAAGAGAGGCTTATTCATAAACACAGAAAAAACTCAGTAATTCTACTGAGTTTCTCTGGATGTCTTTTCAGAATTGTGGATTGTGCCTATTCAGCGAAAGTCTTTCTGGGCCATAGATATACATCATCTTTGTTTGAAACTTATCCTGTCATTTCTCTTTATAATGTAAAAAAGTAGAATATAAAAACAGCCTGAGTTTAGTAGTGGCTTGATAAATAGTTTAACTTAAAAAAAATACAGTAATTCATCACTGAAGCTAGCGTTATTTGAAATATTTTTTAAAAATACATGAGTGATGTTTTTTTAATTCTTACTTCAAGAATTCCTGAAATGTATACACATTTGTCTATCTTAACAGAGATATGCTTATAATATTAACAAATAGCATATTGATCACTGCAAACAGAAAATTTCATTATAAAAAATTCAAGGCGTGAATTACAAAGAAATGCCAGACATACCCTGTCTAACCTTCTAGCTTCTATATGTCTAAGTAGCTGTTGTCTCCAGTCAGCAGGCATTTTACCATAGCTCTCATTGCCCTTCCCAGGGGTAGGCCTTGTCTTTAAATCAGGGTTATCTGATGGCTTCTCACCATAGTTACTCAAGTTATAGTCGGACGGTATTTTTTCCAACAGAGCTGCCATTGTCGGCCTAGCTGAAACTGGCCTGGTTTGGGAGGTACCATAACTCTCTGTACTGTAGCTCCTTGCAGACAAAGGTCTCCTTTGCGTTACGTTTTTAACAGGGAAGCTTCCAGACTGGCTTTTCACTTCTTGATATGAAGGGTGTTCATCTTCATACCTGCCATTTCTTTTGAGAAACTGGGATTCAGACCCTGAAATGCTGCTTTGGCGTTCCATAGCTCCTCTATACTGATGTCTGTTATACCTATCGCTTTGAGGCATTTCATGAGGCTCGCTGACTCTTCTATACATTGACATTTCAGTGGAGCTGGCCAATGAATCTGCTCTTCTTAAAAATCCAGCCCTTGATCCCTGACTTGACAACTGAGTACTGACAGTCTCTTCATTAACAGAAGGCTGTGAGAAGGAAAACATGTGTTCCATGGATGGATATCCTCGGTAGGCTCTGGGACTAACCAAATCCTTAGAGACATTTTTTGTCTGCTGGGGAATGTATTCTGGAGTATGTTGGAAAGGGGGCGGTAGTCTCTTTTCAGCTTTCACTTCTACTGATCCTTGAGGATTAAAACTTTGGTCAAACTGGTACACTTTTTTAGTCACAGAGGGCTTTTGCTGTTGTTGGACCTTTACACTTCCATAAGTCAGCAGTTCATCATCAAGCATTGGCACAGACTGGCTACGGGACATACTAGACATTCCATGTTCTGGCCCCAACATTTTATCTTGTCTGTCATGCATCCCTGCGTTATCAGTAGTAGCTGCATAGTTCTCTAGTGGTATGTTATAAACTTTATATGCACCAATATCTATCTCATCTATACTTTGTGATTTCTTAAACCGGCTTGTTTTTAAATCTCTCATCATTGGAGAAAGCCTCTCTGTACTTTTGCTGATAGAAATAATATTTTTAGAAAGCTCTGGGCGACAGTGAATGTGTGAAAATACATTGCTGAGACTTCTGTTGGTATTGGAATCATGATATTCCCATGGTGTACCTGGAGAAAAAGTACTAGATATTTCAGGAGAGTCTTTAACAAGGTCTTTCCTTTCAGGTAAAGGGCTGGTAGTAGGGGTGCTCTCCAGCTTAGAAGGAAAAGCTGTCCTATCTTCAAAGGGGCTAGGTGTTCTTGTCCAGTTCTGCCAAGGGTTTGATGGAGGCACTTCTGATTCAGGGGTATTTCGGATAGTGGGTTGTTCAAGTTCTAGGGGAATACCAACTATCCTATCTTGCCTAATTAAAGGCCTGCGTCCATGAGCAGATGTGCTTCTTGATTTGGAGCTTAAGAGAGGATTAGTGCTAGGATTCTCCACTGTGTTCTCCTCTGCCACAAATCCTGTGTTATCATAGTGAGAGCTGTCATTCCAACTGTCAGCAAAGGCATCACTCATTGGATGCCTTTCATTATGTTGCTGTAAATTTCCTGCTGGAGCAGATTCCCGCTGACTGAGTAATGGCTTGGTCTCAAGGGGTTGTGGGAAAGATTGGACAAGCCTGCAAGAAACAAATATTTAAAAAAGCCACATCAGAAAACAATTACAGCAGATTAAAATGTTAACAAATACCTGATCATTATTGCATACATAGTTTAACCAATCTGTTACTGAACGGAATGTTAATCTAGGTTGGAGTGGAATACAAAAATTGGTTGGGGACTTGGGTGATCTGTTAATGCCAAAGTTGATTTATTTTAAATTCTGCAATAGACAAAATATTATACAAGCAGAACAGACAAATTTTCTGAACAATGAGGTCAATGAAGCGCTTCTAAGCTATATCGATGTGCTTAGCTCTTTCTTTGTTATCAATGAAATCCACCTTGGAATGAATTGTTTTCCATCCAAATAGAAGAACTGGAATGAAGGAGAAATTGGAGGGTGAGGGAGGGAGGAAGAGAGAAAAGCAATAGAAAAGCAAAAAGAACTTCCTCCCTTCTTTGTAATAAATTCAGGAATAGGTTTATATCACATAGTACATAGCACTGAGCTTACCATCAATGTCAAAGCCTCTTTCAAAATGTAATTGGCTATATCCCTGAAGGAATAAAATTGCCCAGTAGTTAATTTAAACATGTGTATATTGATTGAGAAAAACTAGATGACACATAAACATTACATAACCTTCTATGACCTTTAATTAGTATTTTCAGTAGAAATAGACCCTTGGGAATTTGTGAAAGGTATAAGAAGTTTTTTTATTTTTGATTCATTCATGAAACATAAAAAAAATTCTGAATTCTTGATAGGAGATTCTCAGAAAAGTCAAGAATCAAAGACAAGAATCAGGTCTTGAGCATTATTCTCTGAACTTGACTGAAATTATACTGAGGTCCACAAGCCCATGGTTCCCGAGAGTACTTTCAATTTTAAAAAATATGTAGGATTTACTGGATTCTCTTTAGTTCCGTTTATTTAAGCTTTTTGGTTAAATGAACTATACATTCCTATAGTCAACTTGAGTTCTATCAAATAAACACACCTGTTACCCCACAATGAATTATTCACTGCATCTTTAGCTGTGGTCTGCAAAGATCCTATTTTAACATGAGCATTAGAAGACCCAGAAGAAGCTTGTGATGGGGAATAGTCTGAGTAAGTGCCTGAAGAAACACTGTTATTCATGCAGTGAACTTTATCGGCTTCAGACTCATCAGTTGATTCTGGAAAACATAAAGTAACTTGTTAATACGAAATTAAAAATTCAAGGAAGAATTTTTAGGAACATATATACAAAAGATATGTTATAATTAAACCCAGAAAAGTGATTTCCAATCCTTTTCTGTCTTGTTTAGCCACATATCTGCTTCGACTCCACATGAAAGACAAATGCAGCTAATCAGCATTATTTTCTGCTTGGTTTTTCATCTTCAGTCACATGGGACACTTGCAGAGATGATGGCAATCATTAATGCAGATTGCCTTACACAGCTGCATTGCTTTATTATTATACTTTTGCACTTTGCTTCTCACACTTATACCCAGGGATTTTTTTGTCATAGAATGCCCAGAACGGAGTTCCGGCACCTTTTTTGGATGGAACCTTGTAGAGTAGGAAAGATGGGTTGTATGACGTGTGTGAGTTCCGGCACCTTTTTTTTTTTTTTTTTAGGAAAAAAGCACTGCTTATACCTATGTTTGTTAAAATAGCTATTTTTCTTTGATTAAAATATATTAATTATATTGATAAGAAGGAAGAGTTTAATTTTTTTTGTTTTGCTATTAAAGAATGCCTTTGCAGCATTCCACACTATCCATGAGCTTAAGCAAACTGCAAAGGTCATAGATAAGATGGCCCAGGAACTTTGGTTGAATATGGATCAATTGTCTTTCCTAAGTCAAAGAAAGTACTGTAGCTATTATCAAGATATATTACAATACAATATCTTCACAGCTACAACTTCAATATGATCAAAAGCTCATAATAATCTATGACCTCTGTATTATAAAATTACTTACATATAGTTTGGTGAGTAAGCAACTATGCTACTGTATTCAGGAGTCAGGGTCAATCTGATGCTTTATAATCGTATACTTAAAAGCATTTACCACAAAGCATTTCTGTATAAAGAACAATAACAGTTCTGCATCATTCTTCATCCATTATCTCCAGTTATGACACAGGAGTTCAGAAAAATCCAGTACCTTTTTTTTCCTTTCCTAAAAGAACAAGTTTTGGTTGATATAATGGTGCATCAGCCATTGAGGGGCGAAGTTCTCCTATCCTCATGTCATTCACTGGGTGTACAAAAGAATCCTGTAAATTGAAATAATAATTGGAGAATTGAATATCATAAAGACACCAACAAAGATGAAATTTTCAGTGGACTTTATACTTTTATGAGAGCTATGAATACTAAGTACATTCACTTGGAAGACAGAAGCAAATGTTATCTGGCAGAATTCAGTATTAAAATTATCCAAAACATTAACCTACATATTAAAAATCAAGAAGCATGACTAGCAAACTCATGATCACAAAAGCATGATGATGCGCCCCCGGCACATTATGTCTAATACACATAATTAGACAGCTTGGAATTACTGAGAGCCTGCTGCCTACTTGTCTCAGTAGTTCCACGCTGCAGAATAGACCTGAATAGCCTATGGAACTCAATCCAGCTTGCCAGAGCCTTCCACCTCAGGGACAAGCCAAGACCAAGTGACACAGGTCCTGATTTGAAAGATACTGAGTACATGTTGAGGTGACTATCCAGCACAGAAGTGCTAAACTGGCTTAGAAGGCTGTAAGTTTTGGCAGGAAAATAGATGAGCTGCTACAAGAAGATTGATGAGGCTCAGCTGTATGCTAAAAATGGGCGCAGGGTGAAATATTTTAACCTCCTCCTACATGAGGAAATGGTTTTTACACTTGGGAGCATTGCTTGTTTTTACTGTAGTTATAATGTTCCTCTTAGACTTTAGTCTGTTGTTTGACTATGCTTCTGGGCTTCCCAATTTGTTTGGCATTTTAGATTAGTTTTCTTCTGCTGCAGCATATGTTTGCCTAAGGTATTTAAAGTCAAACTTGATTACTTTCAATTTCTTGTTGTTGCTTTTTTCTCAATTTACTTCTGCTCTACTCTGTAAATGGCATTGAAGAATTTTATAACCTGTCTTGACTAAACTAAAGCATTTAGAACTGTGTAATTTGCTTTAATGGTCAGCTTGCAGGACAAGCAGGAAACATGGTAATTTTTACTATTCCTTTAATTTTCATCAATTGATTCCTCCCTGCAATTGACTGCCATTTTAGATGACGGTTAAGCTATACTGATATTATTTTCATATTATGCTACCAAGGTTCTTGTTTACTAACATTCTTTTTTTGTTATATGTAGTAAAGATTTAACAATGATTTTATTTAGTTGTTAATATTAATAAAATGCTTTTAAAAAAAGACTTGTGTGCAGAAAGTTATCTACGTTTGCAATTGGTTTCTAATGTATGTGCAAAATTGCTGCCAGAGCACTCCATCCTAAAATTAATGATTATGCTTCTCTCAATCAGCAGTCAAGGAGTCTTGCATATTTCTTAAAGCCCTTAGAAAGCACCCTACATTCTATATCTATCTTTCTCTTGAGAAACCCAACTTTTCTGTGGATCATCTACTCTGGACCATCTAGATCTAGAAATTCCCCAGACCTCTAAATCAGTATAATAATTGCTAATAATAACTACTGAAGAGTCATAACAATAGAGATAGATAGACAGACAGATACAGCTTCAATCTTAAAATCATTACTTTAAAGAGCACTGGTATTTATTCTTTGTTACCTCCACTGATAGCTCTTTTGTTGCCATGGGCCACTTGTGCTCAAATTTGTCTTTCACAACTTGTTCTGCACTCGCAGATGGTGCTGAATTCTCAGGCCTCACTCCATGGGTAGATTTGCCCACTAAATTTTGAACAGATTTCACCATGTTCTTTAAATCTTCTGGATATGGAGTTGGATAACGCTTTAAATTTATTTCAACCTGAATATGTAGTTAACAAAATAAATTAAAAGTAGAAGCAGAAAAGAAGAATAATTGTTAAAATGTTCACTTTGATTATCAAGGTGATATATATTGCAAAACACAGACAGTGAATTTAGGAATTTGAGACAATGTTAACATACAACATCTGCTACACTGCACTTTTGAAATGCAAAAGCCAGTATCACTTACAATAGGGTGGTGCGGAATTCCAATCCATTGTTGTCAGTGATAAAAATTTGATTAAAATTACCATGATACTTATGATGCAAAATATTAATAGTTTAGGCAGATTCTAGAAATTCACTAATATATGGAATGTCACTCTGGATTTATAATACAATATTGTGACTGCTTATCTGAATATACGGTAGCAACCCAAAAGTAACCTAATTGTTTTTAAGTCTATAAAAGCAATGAAACTTAAGTGAATTGTGTTCAATATTGAACACAATATATTTTTCTTCTTTGATAAATGGGTATACTTGAATAAACTGTGACACTTTATTTACCACAAACATAAAAAATAGATATACAGCCAAGATTCCAAAGCATACACAGGTTAATAGGCATCCATTCAAAAAAGCTTAACTGATATGAAAAATACAGACTATGGTACAAACTTACATTCAATGTTGAAGTATAATAAAATACGCATTACAGACAAGCACATCCAAACATAGACCTCAATAGCAATTATAAAATATTACATAACGTCAATGTACAGGTCCAGCACAAGAACTACTTAACTGTAATGAGTGGATATAACATCACTACAGCTCTCATTGATAGTCTAAAGACTGCAAATGCTGATAGGTTCATCTAAGCACTACATGACCTGGGCAGTGGCTTAACTAATGCCCAATACAATCTAAAAAACAGGAGGGACATAAGCAAATTGTACATGCATTGGAAAGGCTACTAAAAAAGACAAAGTAGCTAAACTAAAACACACAAAGATATCTGAGTAAAGCAATTTATCTTAGATCAATATTATTTTTCAGTGGTAAATTATTCTCAGATGTGCTAGATAGAAGTAGGGTGAAGATATTCCTATATTAATATTAAAAAGGATAATTACCAATGCAGTCTAGACTCCCTTTCTATTCATGGTCTTTTATGTTTCACATTTAAAGTTACCTCAGAAGTAGCATGCCGCTGGGGATAAAAACCTTCCAAAGTGCAATATTCCTGGATAGAAGAATTTCTTTTTTAATTTCTACTGTCAAATTCAATTCAGCAAACAATGATATACTTGACCAAAAGCAAATGTTATAAGATTCATCAATGCAAATTTGTTATAAAAAAGTGTTATAAGAGTTGTTTTAATTAAATGTAAAAAGCAACTTATAAGTACATAGTAGGCTGCTTTAGGACAAGCATTTTCTTGAAAATCAGGCTTTTGATGTTGACGGTTCTTTTGCCCCTTAAAATAATGCCTTCACATTTACCTAAGAGAAAGATATCTGCAGCGCATACGACAGAGGCAAGATATAAAATATTTTGAACAGTTCTAAGATAAAAATTTTACCCTATGTTACATTACCTGGCTGTAATCATTTTTAAATACTCAAATATTTGCCAGTCAGTAAATATCTGAGTAGATATCAAAGATAATTGCAATGTGAATTTCTTAAAACATATTTATAATTGTAAGCATTCTAGAGATAAAGAGCACATTAACTTTTACTTAAGTGTTTTAAATTCACATCACTGCAATATTTTCAAGTTGCTTAAATTTTAATTTTGAAAAACTTCCAATTTAATTAGACCTGCAACCATTTTAGGAAAAATGCTGATCTTTTTCTGTATTTACATCTACCGTATAATGAAAAATGAATAGGCATAAACTGTCTCTTTAATTTGGGGATTTAAAAGGATGTCATTTTTAATTGTTTCCAGATTTTGAGTTCTTGCAGAGATATTAGTATATTAGCAAATTTTCTCAGAATAAATTCTCCTTATTATCATATTAACAATAATTATGGCTAACAAGGATTTTTCTTAATCAAGCATCTGAAATCAAATTACAGTTTAAGAGTCTGATTTCAGATAAATTCTGGATGAATGAATTCATATTAAGTGTGAATAAATTCAATTTACTTTCAGAATCTGGCTTCTGATTTGTATTGGTCATAGTGTTGTGTCCTCCTATATATTGTGGTTAATTAAAGCTTTCCAGTTAATCCTGTCTACTGTTAAGGTTAGATTAATTTTTGTTTAACCAAATGAAAATCATGATGGATTTGCTAAAAATAAAAATGCATTTTGCAGTTTGGAAAAAAATGTAATGTATTGACAAAATAGATGTAGTCTATTTGTTATTGCTCAATTTGAATCCATCAAGTATAATAGAAATCTTATTGGCATTGGCTCTTGTGCAATTTTGTAACTATCAGAAGTAACAAGGATTTTCACATGAAGATATAATTTATAATGTAAACATTTCTAAAAATGTATTTATCATATATATATATATATATAGTACCTGCCTGGATATTAAAAATGTAAATTTTAGAACCTCATAAGTAGCCAATAGAGAGACGGGAGGAATACAGTTGAAAGTTATTTTTATTTTTTTTATTTTATTTAAATATTTCAGTCAATTTCTATTGGCTATTAAAATACTTTATGTAGGTCTTTGAATTTTTTTGTGAATATAAAGAAAATGTAAATTAGTTCTAGTACTATTTTTCTTGAAATATAAATTAATTTTTACTTGAAGATTGCATAAAGACTAAACCAGATTGTATGTTTGTAACAGTCATTAACAAAACATCTCACTAAAACTAGTGATCCACTTTGGAGTAAGCAAAAATTTTATTTATGCAAAGAACTCTGCTGCCCACCGACAACTCATTTTGCTGCTTACTGCTAGATCAACCAGCTTCAAAGAGGAACAGGAGATTTACTTGAACATTTTATTTCCTCATCCAGTTATCACTTTTTCTGGTTTCTATATATGTCTTTTGTATGTCTTTTGAAAAATAAATGATTTATTCCTTGGTTGATGAAAAGTTAAACAGAGTTGCACTGGAGAAATAAAAAGAATTATGGAAGAAAACAACTGCAAACTAGATTTATATTGTTGTTACTGTAGAGATGAGGAATCTTCCCAACTCAAAGGAATTCTTACATTTTACGAAGCAAGGGGCTGAACAGAATTGCCCACAAGATTCAATTTCCCTATAAAATGTATTTACTGCATACTTGTTTTAAAGTTGGTAGGGGGAAAAAAAAAGCAAAACCACGGCTCTTGTGTGCTTTATAGAAATTTTTCCATTCCCAACACTTGGTCATTACATAAAATAATTTTGTTTTTAAGGGAGATTGAAATTTATCAGCATTTCAGTAAAAATGTATTTGTTGGCAGAAAATAAAGTTGAATTATAAGAGCTAAATATAAACATAGTTTGCTTTATGTGTGTTGTGAGAGTATATATGTTTGTGTGCACACATCTGTTTACCCCTGACATGTTCTTGATTATTTATTCAAGAAATCTGAATAAATCTCAATCACAAAAACAACAAGAAGAAAAAAATGTTGTCCTAGGGCAGGGATATTATTTTTCCTTATTTCTCCTATGAATCCTATCCATATCCTTGACCTTCCAACCACCACTGAAATAGCTGGTTTTTTGTCTAAATTTCTTTAGAATCAAATTTATTTTCAAATCTCTGCTTTAAATAAACTTGGCATCTAGCCTCAAGGCATAGGTGGTATATCTATGTGAGGAAAGCTAGTGTATTATAGTGGTTAAGGTATCACTACTTTCAAGTGTCTCCATTCCAACTGCAATCTCTGTTTGATCATGATTCCCACCAATCTCTTTCAACATAACTTATCTTACAAATTTTCATATACAGTAAATCAGAGGTCCCCAACCTTTTGGGCACCAGGGACTGGTTCCGTGGAGAGAGGTTTTTCCACAGACCGGAGGGTGTGTGGTTTCATGTACTGTCTACATCCTGTGGATGGGCCTTTGCTTGTTTGTGTAAACCGGTTTCTGGCATGCTGTGGCCTACTGCCAGTCCATGGACTGGGGGTTGGGGACTCCTGCAGTAAGTCATCTTAAGATCTCATGGGAAACTCAGCATTTTAATTTAGTGCAGTAATAATTCAATAACTTTACATTCTATGTCTGTTGTTAATCAAAATATCAAAATAATCCTATTTGAAGTCAAACATCTCAGATATGGAGAAGGATGTGTGTGTGTGTGTGTGTGTGTATACACATACATACACACACACGCTAAGATTGGAAAACCTATTTTTGTATAAGAAATATTGTGTGAAATATCAACCTTACTGGGTTAACTCCTTTCTTATGAAATTGAAGTAAAGCTCAGGGATGCTGAAAATGAAACTGAAGTGCAGATTTTTAGTTAAAGGATTTACTCATACAGTCACATTATTTTACAGCAAAGGCTTTTCATTCTTGCTACAATTTGTACATTTTTATATCATCTACTCCAGACGTCACCAACCTTTCTCGGTTGGCAGACTGGAGGGAAAGGGAGGGGGAAGCATTTTACATGGGCGCGCATGCATGCACACGCATGGGGCCACAAGCATGCACGTGACACAAATGGGGCAGGGCTAGTGCTTGCATGATATTCACTAGCCCTGCCCTGTTCTTGTGCACAGCACCATTTCTGTGCCCCGAGGAGCAGCGGTAGGCCATTTTTGTACCCTGAGGTGTGGCGTTGGCCCATTTTTGCACCCCAAGGTGCGACAGTGGCCTGTTTTGCACCGCACGATGTCTTGTTTTTGTGCCCTGTGGCTGTGGCACTAGCGTGAGTGGGGTGTGTGCGCACACATGTGGGCACATTGGCCAGCCTGTCCTGCGGCCCGGTGACCAGCAGCCCACGGCTCACCATCGGGCTGGGTCCACAGGTTGGGGACCCCTGATCTACTCTATCTTTAGACTGAATGAGATAGCTATTTAAGAAAGCACATGCTAATAAAAGGATGTAACCTTTGTAATCTTCAAAATAGATTGTTTTCCATTTCTCAAGTATTGTTGGAAGTGTTGAAATAACACTTGTGTCAAGCTGATTTCTATACCTGGAATAGGAGGTGGAAAAGAAGGTGTCACTAGTTTAGACACCAAACTGTTCTGGGCCACCTCTGATGAATATAGAATGGACATAGTTTCTTTGTATAACATGTAGTGATTCAAAAAGAAATTGAAAATAAGAAGGGATCTTAGGGTTAATATACAAAATTCTATGACCATGGAATGATATTTTTTCCATAAGTTTGCAAATAAAGGCTTCTTTATCAATATATTCTATCAGTTTCTTTGTCAAATAAAGGTTAAGATTAGGATTTTGCAATTTTGAAAAAAAAAGACATTTCTGTTAATGTGAATGAATTAATTGAATTCTTATGATGTTCCCTCTTGTGTAATTACCTCTGGGTTGGCTTTGTAAATGAATCTAATGCCCTTTATCTCTCCCTCGCTCTATTTTATATAGAATGAATCCCCTTTATTAATCTCCTTGAATGTGACTACCATCTCTTAACTAATAAGAGAAAACATTTGTCAAGTTAAGGCATCCAGTTCCGTTGATTATATACTATTCCTATTTTTTGAAACAGTAAAAATATGGCACAAGAGGCATTTAGAATGCAGTCAGTTTAATTCTGCCAAATCTAATTTGAAGAAGGCAATATGTAATTTCAATTTCCATACAGTAGGTATTTATAACACTGACAATTGCTTTCTTTCTAAATGTCACAAGTCTTAATGGGCCATTATACCAACTATTAAGCAAACCATGGGCATTAAGGCAAGATGGAGAGGGAGGGCATTATTTAAAAAAGAGAATCAGAGTCATAGAATGTCCTCACACAATGCAGATTTAGAGACATGTAAAAATTTTACACTGCCGGCTACGGAAGAGGAGGTTCTAAGCATTTGCAACATTTCATCTGTCATAGCCAACACTGCATGGTTCAAGTAAAATCCCAGAAAAGAATCCATATTTCAATAAGACATTCCTACACAATCAATAATCTCTCATATATATGTAGATACTAGATACTACATTGATACATAGATATGCGGAGCACATACTATTCCAATGGTCGGGTACTTATGATATTCCAAATGTTGCTTTTAACAACTATCAGTCGATCTAGCCAATCTGGCTCAAAATGAGAGTACTGACGACTTAGGTTCAGCGTGTTCTAGAAGGTCATAGCTGTTCCGCCCATAATTTATCTGTTTTCTATATTCACTGAATGTTACCTGAACTGCAGCTATAATCAAGAAATATAACCCCACTTACCTTAACTTTTCCGGCATTTTCCTCTTCTTCCTTTTTTTCCTCAAATTCAAAGGCCACTGTCATACGTTGCTGCCGCTGTTCCTCCCACAGAGTAGGATTAAAACTATCACTATCAGACTGGAAATCTGTAATTAATTTAGAAATGAAGGCTAGAATCAAATAAACTAGCTAACAAAATTTGCTATTCTTTTAAATTTATAATGACTCTAAACAAAAAGGCACAGTTACATGCCATGTGTTATTTTTTAATTTCTATATTATTCATTTATTGATTCTACACATTTCTCTTTTACTTATCTATGTTTAAGTGCAGGTAGACAAAAATATGTCATGGCTGGCCCTTCAAAAACTATTGAAAATTATTCAGAGTTTAATTTCACTCATCATAAGTCTTTATAGCATAACCACAAAATTATGACATTATAATACACAGCCTAAGACTTGCCATCCTAAATATAGAATTATTTTGATACTGAGATCTGTTATTTCTAAATCTGTGCAAATTCTATTTTCTGTAACACTCTGACTTTGGGACATAATTCTGACTGCAGAAAGCAAAAGCTAATCTAAGATAAATTGGGCAGGAAATCTGTAGAACTAACCAAGGCCTGCCTTCCTGAAATTGCTTCAGAAATATGTAAATGATTTGAATGGTATTAAAATTATAAAAAGAATAGAATTATTAATAAGATTTCTATCTACTTTTGGATATTAAATAACCATTGTGTTATTTTATGCATTTAGAAAAATTGGTTAATAATTTTACCTTCATCACCACGAGGTTGCTGAGGAAACATGTAGTTAGTTAACACTCTTTGCTTTGTTTCTGGATGCGCTTCAGTTTGAAGAGGAATCAGAGCCTTAGACTGTAAATTAAAGAAAAACACAGACAGAGTCATATACTGTATAACGTTATATCTCACAGAAAAAAGTGGCAATGAAGCAAGATAAAATAATGGCATTAAAAATATTATGAATGCTAACAAGCAGTGTTTCATTACAAAGGGTACTGGTAATAATTTTCAGTTAAAATGAAAACCTGTTAAAAATTTAATATTCAGGTACGAAATTGTATTGCATTAAGATTTCTGTAACATCTACAGACTACAAATGATGATGCACTATTGTGATTTATTTATTGTTCATTATGTTGCCATACTGTTTTGATACAGAAAGGCAATTATGATACCTTTAAAACTATGGATACAATTCAGAAGCCCACATGAAACACACACACACACACACACGCACACAAGTTTTACATATACAGTATATCCTTCCCTATAGCGTCTCTGCTTAGCTCACTTAAATCAGAGAAAAAAAATGCAATATCATTTTTGAAGGGTATGGTAGGGATATAATAATATCAAACAGGTCTTGAGCTTCTTCTTGTGTGAAACACCTTCACAGTTCTTCGCTTCATACAAAATACTAAACCACAATATGATTTATTTTTACTCAGTGTGGTGCTCCAACTTAGCGTGGTACTTTTGCTGGCTTAGCATGATACTGTATGTAAACTTGGTGATTTTATGAAAGAAGATTTTTACATTTATCTGAACCAGAGAATACACCCTGAAAAAAACTCAGTCTTTTAGGGGAAAAGATATCTGAGCACAATTATTGGGGGCTTAGAACTTAGGAAACTCTTTCTACTCGCATGTAAAAGTTAGCTTCTTTGCATGCTTACTTAAAAAAAGTTTCACAGTGGAAACTTAGATACAACTTGTAATCTAAGTGAATGGTTTATATAAATAAATGGAAGACATGCCTTTTTTATTCTGCAGGCTGGGCTAAACCTTTTTATTCATGTTGGGTAGAGGTTTGTGTCCTATGAAATAAAAACATCCCCCAATCTCCTTGCCATGTTTCCATCTTTTTCCCCCCCTTCCTGTTGAAGTTCTACCAAAGAACGAAAAGACATTGAATGCTTCTGCAGAGGAGAAATCTAAGTGATCCTATACCAGTGATGGCAAACCTTTTAGAGACCGAGTGCCCAAACTGCAACCCAAAACCCACTTATGCACCGTAGGGTGCCGAGTGGGTGTGGCCCATTGTGTGGGCATGGCCCATTGTGTGGGCATGGCCCGTTGTGTGGGCGTGGCCCATTGAGTGGGCGTGGCTGCAGTGGTAACGGAAGACTGGGTGGGACTAAAAAGTTCAATCAATTCCAACTTTGCAAGATCTTTTTTTTCCTACGAGAAGTTGAAATTGACTGATTGATTGAACCTTTTTTTTTTTTTGCCTAAAGCGAAAAGGTTTTATAAAACCCATCTGAAGGCCTAGGACGGGGGCGATGGCGCACATGCCCACAGAGAGGACTCTGAGTGCCATAGGTTCGCCACCACTGTCCTATACTTTCTGAGATGCTTTTCCAGGACAACAGAGTTGGTCTGTAAGAATAATACACATTAGAATACAGTTCAATTAAATATGTCTTTTTGAAAAGTATAAATTACTAAGACAAATGATATATTAACAAAAACTCTGAACTGAAATCTTGCACTTAAGTCAGCTCAAAACAAAACTATTTATTAATTATATTTTCTAGAAAAAATCTAGAAATACTATTTGTAAAAAAGAAACAAAATGTCTAGCTATTGCAGAGACTTTCCTATTGATCAGGTTTTTTTTAGCAAGAATCCAAGTTCTTTACCATCAGCAGATTCACTGAAAAATTTGATGATAGATAAAAATTTGGGAAAACATACTGTTTAAACTTTTGCATCTAAAAGAGCACAATCTGAAACTTGATTTGTCATGATGACAATGTAATTTACAAATATAAATCATACCAGTCCCCTTTTGTTTAGCTGTTATGTACAAATGGATATTAAATACATACCTGGTTATCTGAAAGCCACAATGCTGCAAGTTCTTTAAGCTTTGTAAAAGTGATGGGCAAATTTTTTAACCTGTTTTAAAAAAACATCCCAATATTTAGACAAAATGAATCCTTCCTGAAGACAACATTATTTAGACTTTGACATTTATTTAAACAATACTTTGCAGTGAGACCACAATACACATTTGGTAATTTTTAACATATCTTTTAATTATTTTTAAAATGTTTTAACAGAAACATTAATTTAGCTCTTTCATTTAAAATGAAAAATGTATTTCATAAATCTTTAGATGGTTAAAATAATAAATGAAACTACTGACAATTTTAGTTGTGATCTGCTCATCTATATGCAACAATTGTCAAGCATTTTGGAATTAGTTGGAATCTAGAAACTTCACTTTTATTAAAAAGAACAGAATATATTTAATAGGAATATATTTTATCATTTAAAAATATTTTTGGCTGTATAGATTCCCACTAACCCTAATTTCTATTTTGTGATGTTGCTTGATTTTTTTTTCTTATTTACAATTTGAAGACATCTATTCAAATTAGTAGTCAAATAAATTTTCTCCTTGAAAATATATAACAGTAAAAACGAAAGAGAGGCCTGACTGAGATTCTGATTAGTTGATATATTATACTATTATTTTGGAACTGGTGCTAATACAGGTAGTCCCACGACCACAATTGATCCAACATTTCTATTGCTAAGTGAAACAGTTAAGTGAATTTTGCTTCATTTAATGACTTTTCTTGCGATAGTGGTTAAGTGAATCACTGCAGTTGTTAAGTTAATAACATGGTCGTTAAATGAATCTGTTTTCCTCATTGACTTTGCTTCTCAGAAGGTCATAAAAGTGATCACATGACTCCGGGACACTGCAATTGTCATAAATATGACTCAGTTGTCAAATATCAGAAATTTGATCGCAACTAGCTTGAATGATCCTACAGTAGCCATGCACTTAACTCTCCTCTAAGCTCTAAGAAAGAGTTAACCTTTGATCATGTACAAATTGTATACCCTAGTCAAAATGAAAAGTGTCATAGTTTCATCTCAAAATTACATTTGAATGAATCCCCTATGTTTCTTCTTCCTTTGCTTAAGGGGAAAAAGAGTTGGTATTTCCCCAAAAATAAATATTTTAGGTGGTTTTGGGGACAGGAGGATCCATTTGTTTCATTTTTTTTAGTCAGATTGCCAAGAGCAATGTCAGCTAGACTCAAGGATTTGTATTGTGGAATCCAGGGCATAGAGAATTGAAGAAAGGCCCAATGAGAATTAAAGAACAGAGCAATGTTTATCTGAGTAAACGATCAGTTCAGAAATTTGTTTTTAGGGATAAAATGGAGCTCTCAGCTTTTTTGGACAAGCATCCAATGCTGATTACTTGCCATGCTGCCAGTTTCTTTGTATTTGTATTCAACTCCATTAAGCAATTGGCAGCGAGAAATAGTTTCTGAATTACTGCACCCAATTAGATAACCATGTATATGCTTGAACTACTATCCCCTACTTCAAATCTAACCTGTTTTTTTTTTTGTTTTTTTTTGCTATTCCTTCCTGTTTCCTTCAATTCTAATTATACGGATTAGATTATCAATCCCTTAAAAAAACCTCAGCTGCTTTATGGTAAGAATGAAATAACTAGAGCAGGAAAATATAACAATTCCAAAACAGAAGTTCTTCCTGAGGGCAAAATATCTTGAAGCAAAGAGTGTACATTTGTATTTGTTATCTTGTCAACCAATAATCTGGTAACATTTTAAAAGAAACATATTTTAGTAATTTACATCGCAGATGGTTCTTTATCCTTGGGATGCTCACAAAACAAGTAAAATTAAAACAATAAGAGTATTACCTGTTGTCACTCAAATTTAAGACACGGAGTTTCTGCATTTGACCAATTTCATCAGGAAGAAATTCCAGTTTGTTTGAACGGAGGGACATGACGGTTACATTCTTGCAGCTGCCAATCTGTAGACAAGAAAGACAATTGTTAGACATGTTCAACGACATTACAACAGTTTAGGATTAATGAATTGTGATGCCTTCAAATTAATTACATTTCATTAATTTTCACAAATATTGTTGCAGGATCCAATCTGGGTTGGTCACCAGGAACCAGAGGTTTTGTCTTCCAAGCTTTCGGAAGATGTGCTGGAGTCCATCTTTAGGAAATTTCAAGGCTAGAGAGAATTTCCTTGAAGATGGGCCCCAGCACAAGTCCGAAAGCTTGGAAGAGAAAACCTCTGGTCCTGGTGACCAACTCAGATTGGAGTCATTAATTTTATACGTTGTTCCACATAGCTCCGGTTACAAATGGATTAAACCAAAAATATGTTTGTTGTTGGTAGTCTCTGTGCAACCTCACATGAATTGCCTTCTTCAAGTGAGTACAGAAGTATTGAAAGGATATCCTGATTAATTCATACTCATCCTAGAAAAGTCTGTTCAGCCAGAAATTTAGCAACTTAAAAGTTTTTGTTATCTGAACGAGATGCTCTAATATGCTTATTTCCCACATCATTTTTCTAACAATGTGATATCACAAGGGCCTATTATTCTATTATGGGGGCTGGTTTTAACAGCATTCTTGTTTTGCATGCATAGGCCTAATTGGCTTTTTTTAAAAAGCAAACTTCCTCTAAGTTGCTTGCAATCCATCAAAAGAGTTGTGGCCTAGCTCTCTTCTCACACCAGTGGGGACAATATACATATGCACTCAGGTTAGCAATGAAAAATGTATCACTATTCTGGCGACGCAGCTTGTTTATTTATTTTAATGTATATGCCATTTCTACCTAGGCAGCTCACAATAAAATATATTGCAGGGTCCAATCTGGGTCACTGCAAGATTATCCTGAGACACGTATATTCACCTTCATTCATAATAACATAAATCTATGAAACAGACATTTTGAATTACATTAAAAATCCCTAATTGATGTTTAATTAATGTGTGATGTATTCCATGATACTGTACATTTCTTATATGGATAATAAAGTGATCCAATATCTATACTGATAGATAAGATGAAGAAGAGGATGAAACATGGTCACCTACATTTTTTGAGGATTACAGACCCATAAGAAGCTTCTTTTAGATCTGTTGCTTTTATTTCTTTCCTCTGTCTATATCAGTGATGGTGAACCTTTTAGACACCAATTGCTCAAAAACCGCCCTGCCCCCTGCTCCACTCCCACTCTGCCCCCCGCCCACCCACAGGGCCACCTACTGCCTCCACGGCCCGCAACAGATCGCCCAGGCAGCCCTGCAGCGCCATGGCAGCCACACCCTCTGCCCACGCCCTGCAGCATCATCTGCGCATGACGGGGTGTGAGGGCGGAGCCTTGTCCCTGCTGCCCTGCTGCCCTGCTGCCATGTGGCTGCGCTGCTCTGTGCGGGCCATGCCGGGGGCTACTCTCCTCCGGGGGAGGCTGCTGATGAGGAGGGGGCCATGGGAGGAGGCAGGGCTGGGGCGACAACGTGCGTGTCCACAGAGAGGGCTCTGAGTGCCATCTCTGGCACGTGTGCCATAAGTTCGCCACCACTGGTCTATATAGCCACCATGCACAATCTGTAGAGCCATGAGGCAAAAGTGGGTGGATGTTAATGGAAAGAGAATCACACAAGAAAAGAAAAAGTTTTTTTTAATTAAAATAAAAAGACACTCTGTAACATTATTAATAAAAATGGAAGAAGGGCATGATGATATGTAGTCCAAATGCAGAACAAGAGCCACTGATTGTCAGTTCTCAGATTACGTCACCAAAGGAAATCAACACTGAAAACTGGTTCATTGTTAGAAGTAAAAACCTTCATTTGCTTTGTCTTGTTTATCTTTTGAAGTTTTCCCATTCTGCTGTACTACAGATCTATTAGATAGCACTATTAATCATATAATCATCCTGATTCTAGGCATGAATGAGTTTCTAGTTCTCAGAATAAACATTATTTTAATTAGCTTTTCCTAAACTGGATAGAGTTAATGGAAGCTGTGGTCTAATACATGTGGAAGGCATAAATTTATGAAAGGCTGTTCTAAACTAATATGCATCTATGGAGATAATATCACATTGCAACTTTTGAAAGCATCCTCTGAAAGAATAGAAAAGAACAAAAAAAGTTTTGAGAAGCCCCATGTCTGTAGAGGTCAATGATTAATTTCTTCTTGGAATTTGTTGAATAATTTTGTTCATATCTGATGGTCATTCTCTTTTTTTCAACAGATTTTAAACACTTTATCTAAACTATTGAAAGACTAAGTATAAGATTCAGGCATTTAATGTAGAATCCATTGACTGAACCTTGCTCTCCCTTAGAAATATTTTTAAAGAAATCGAACTGGTTATTGCCTTATATTTTCCCCTTTGTCAATCTTCTTTATAAAAAGATATAATATATGAAAACGAAAACATGAGCCTCTACTTAAAAAAACTCAGCATCAAAAAATGGCCCAATATTTTAACAAAACATAAAAGTATTATACAGAGGACTAAAAGCTCTGTAGCCTCAGGATATGATTTGCCAGATATCAGCATTACATGAAAAAGTATTAATCTCTCCAAAGAATTAATAGAAAGTAGACATGATGAAAGATGAGGTGAGGGTCTTTTGGGACAAACTAAAAAGAAGAAAACCACAGCAGTGATTAGAGTTATGCTGAGGTGAAACCTGTACAAAGATAGTTGGTGGAATAATGAACTGGAAGAGTCTGCAGGTAACAAAATGTATAATTTGCTGTAAAAAGTGAGAATGGCAGATATTGTGTAATATAAAAATCAGGAAACAGTATTGGAAAGAAAGTAACCAAAAAGTATACGAAACAGTTAAGATTAAAATAAAAAATGCAAAAATGATTTTGATGGAAATAAATAGTTTGGAAGATAATAAAGAGGGCTAAAAGTAACGAGTTCCTAGCTGAGTGAATGGAATTAAAATAAAACCAGTGAAAGTATTTGGAATGAAATTGAAGTAATAATAATAATAATAATNGGCAGGAACCCTACACCATTTCAGACAAACGGCTGTCCAGTCTCTTCTTAAAAACTTCCAGTGTTGGAGCATTCACCACTTCTGGAGGCAGGTTGTTCCATTGGTTAATTGTTCTAACTGTCAGGAAGTTTCTCCTTAGTTCTAGGTTGCTTCTCTCCTTGATCAGTTTCCACCCATTGCTTCTCGTCCTGCCTTCAGGTGCCTTGGAGAATAGCTTGATTCCCTCTTCTTTGTGGCAGCCCCTGAGATATTGGAACACTGCTATCATGTCCCCCCCTCGTCCTTCTCTTCGTTAAACTAGACATACCCAGTTCCAGCAATGGAAGACATATTTGTAGCTTTGTATAAAACTGATAGTGGTATGTCAGAAAGTATTTTTTTTTAAAAATGCTATCAATGAAAATATTGAAGAAAACTAACACGGCCACAGAAATCTTAAAATACACATGTTACTTGCTTATGAAGTGGTTATGTAAAGAATAACGTATGTATGAAGGCTAAATCCATATGTGATCACTGGAAGATGCTGCTTTGTTCACTTAAGGAAAGGAAAAGGTTATTTGGAATGAAGGTGAAAACTACAGGAAGATTACTTTGTCAAATGTGTCTGGGAAATATTTGCAGCAAAAGTTATGCTGAGCAAGAAGTGTGCAGATCAAATTTTTGCCCTTCAATAAATCATTAAATCATATGCTAACATAATCAACCTTGAATAATAGAATATGTATATGGAGTTGGAGATTGATGAAGGAAATAAAACATGCATGAGCATAAGTGGCATGGTTAACAAATGGTTCAATATTGAATGAAGAGGCTAAGATAAGGTTTTGTGAAGTCTCCTTGGTTGCTTCATGCATTTATGAACAAATGTATAAGGAATGCAAGCGGTGAACATAGACATAGGTTGCTCAGGTACATGAATGTGTCTATACTTTTGTATGTAGTTACTGTTATGTTATTAGCTAAGAACTGGAATGATTTATAGTACATGATGCTATCAGGCAGTATCTACAGATCTGAAAATCAATGTATTAAAGAACAAAGCAGTTGAATTTGAGAAGAAAAATGCAATGAATTATATCAAGTAAATAGGAAAAATTAAAGCAAACAGAATATTTACTAAAGATAGGAAGATGGATAGTAGTATTTTATTATTTGCAAATGCTGGTAGAAAAGTAATGGGCAAATAGGCAGTCTCTTGAGAGAAAAGAATGTCTTTCAAAAGAAGCAAAATGGCTGCGCATATAATAACATGCTTTTACTCACTTTGTTATTTGAAATATAAGGCTTGTCAGAAAAGTATGAAAATAAGCTGAATCCAATAAGAGTGGATTACTTAAGAAGTGTGTGTTGTTAAAAAAAAGAAAAGAGAGGGTCAAGAATGAATGTTGTTTGAATGAATGTAGAGTAAGCAAAAAGAAGTACACGGGAGTGGTTGGATCATATAGAGAGAATGGTTAGGAAGAAAATTGTACAGAAATATATAACAGAAAATATATTTGGGTTGAGAGAAAGGAATTGGTGGTTGAATAGAGCTGAAGAGATCTGAAAAAGAAAGAGGTGAGAAGTATAAAGAAAAATGTATGAAGTATGTTATGGATATGGAGATATAACAATATGACTATATATATAGTGGTCAAAATGTCCCTGTCCTAAGGGAAAACAATGAAGAGTGTCTTTTCTGGAATACTTCTAATCCCTTAATAACAGCTCCGCTCTGTGTCATTTGACTGGGAGTAGCTCAGAATGAATGAATTAGCATCTTTCCAAACTGCCTCTCCCATAAGAATGGATTGGGGAAAATTTTCAGACATTTTTATTTCCACAGCTTTAGTCACAAGTCATCAAGTTTGAACTCAATCCTTATTTTTGCTATTTCTATTTCTATTTCAAGTTTTCTGTCTATAAGTGGGAAACAATAAAGGAAACTGCTTAGAAGAGTATCAACATGTCTTTCATGGTTTCTGAAGGCTGATGGGCCCAATTAACAGCTTTATAGCTATATTGTTTATCCTGAAGTAAATGCAGTTGTTGAAGTGTCTGCAAAAACATGAAATTTTTGCTGTGAAATTTGTTGAGCACTCTGAGTAGATAAAATGACCAGAGACAAATGATCAGCTAGATCATTGAATGAATTTTGTTTTTGACTTTGTATGACTGAAATTAAATGAGAACATTCTGAAACACTAAGATGGCAATAACCATCTTGTTTGATCACTGAAATTTACCTGCACAAAAAAAGAGAAGAATTTTCTTTTAGACTGCATCTAAGGGTAGACTTTGGATGATTCTTTAGTTTCTAAGTCATCTGCAGTACATTTTTATTACTGTTTACTGCAAAATAATGGATACTATTGTTCACTTAAGAGCATATTGTCTGGATCTAGACCTTACACCACATTTCCTGCCAGTTCTGCTTCTTGGATTTCCATACACTATGAAAAACACCTCTATAACAAATGATGCAAGTTATGTGGAAGTATATCTTCTATTAGACATGGTATGTTTTTTCCACTCATAGATCATAGTCTATGGATAACAATAACAACACAGGCCTAATCTTTTTTCTTTAATGAGGGCCTTATGAATGAGATTCCTCTTTCTAGGAACATCTGATGCATTGGAGTGATAACCTGGCCCAGGAAGACTGTAAAAAATTCTTAGAGCTGTTTCCTGCAGTTGTTAAACTGTCTGCTTATTTTAGAGGAAGGATGATGAATGTGAAGAAAACTAGTTCTTCTAAAACTGAAAAGACTGCTATTGGATGTGCCCGTAATTCTTCCCATTCAATAAAATATTGTCTCTCAGGTCTCAGAAAGGTAGAAATCAGAGTTATAATTTACTCTTCTAATTATATACTTTCATGATTGGGTGTTCCAGCTATTGATATCTCTCTTGCAAGCTATGTTAATAAAAGGGAAGAATCAGAAACTATTCTCATAATAGAAAACCAGTTGAATCTAATGTCTGCTAAGGATGCAGGACTAGATGGAGGAGGGAAGAATAAGATGATTTTTTTTATCATCTTTAACTGATTACTCTGACTGCTACAGAAGTTTATAGAAGCCAGGAAATGTATGGAACCTGACTCATAAAAACTTGGGTTTTTATTGAAAATTATGTTGTTTCTGTTGCAAAATTATTCTTCTGAAAATAATAGCAATAACAAAACGTTCATACACAGAATAAAAAATATGCTTCCTTGATTCCATGATTAGAACGTCCTTCCCCCAATGAATGATTAAAAATTCTGAAATCATAACAGATGTGACATTATTGACTTTTTCATTTGGCGAAGAGTTTTCCAAAAATACTACTACTAAGGAAGATAAGTCTGAAAGAAAAATGAAATTGGTCCTTCTTGATTACATTTATGGAGTATGGATACTAGGTGCTAGAAGTCCTTCAACTATTAAAGAAAGAAAGTCTCCAGTAATCCATTAGGTGCCTTTGCAATATAAATCATTCAGAAGAAATTATGTGGGATGGTTAACACAGTATTCATCTAACCATTGTTCTCCACATTACAGACCAATACTACTTTGATATTATAAAGAAGCTCCTTCAAATCTCCTGAGACTCTTTTCATTTTCTTTTTGAAATGTATTAGCTGCTGCATTTTTCTAAACCGAAAGCAACTTAGTGGCACTTGATGGTTGAGGGAGCCATCAACAATACACTTACAATTAAATCTGGAACTATTACAAACTAGAATATTTCAAACTCCGCCTGGGTTTTGGATACCATCATTTCCCATTCAATCAATGACTAAAGCACACAGTCCTGACACCTTTTAATAATGATACAAATGAAAAAATGTTTTAGATGAAGACTAGGCATTACTGAAGTAGATTGTATTTCCCAATAAATCCTTACTTCTCTGGGAAGTTCAGTCAGGAAGTTTTCATCTACAGCTAAAGTTCGGAGACTGTGTAGATAGCCAATGGTGGGAGGTAGAGACTCCAGTTCATTACAGCTGCAGTCAAACTCTTCTAATAAAGATAAACTGAAATGTTAAGTACATCTGTTAGTCTAGCTCTCAAAGGGATTAATCATTATTTTCTTTGCAATTAACTTTCTACATCCAGATTTGTGAACTAGGCAAAGAGGCATAAAATTTTCTTACATTTTTTGGGGGGAGAATTACAAAATAAAGGTAGGCTGGAAGTACAAAAGGGTGAGAGATTTGCAGCTGCTTTCAAATTAAAGAAAGCAATAGTCCATCAAGTACACTATTGTCAACAAAAATCGCTAGTTTTCCAGACTAAAAGCAACTTCACGCAAGAAGATTTCTATGTGAAGATTTAGTATGCAAAAATACAAATAGCAAATAATTACTTGTCAAAATGTGCTTATATATATAAGTAAAATAAGGTGATCACCAGGATAAAATCATAAACACAAATGTTTAATTTACAAAACCAAGCTTTCGTCGGCCACACTACCGACATCGTCAGGGTATAATTATTTGCTATTTGTATTTTTACATACACATTACTAAACCTTCACATAGAAATCTTCTTGCGGGAAGATATATATAACTGTGTAATTCTGTACTACAACATGTACATAAATGAAACAGGAACGGTCAAATTCATAATTAAATAAATTTTATCAATACTTTTAAATCATCAAATCCTGTAAGAAAAATGACAAAAATTGAAGTTGAAGTATTACACACTTGTAACAATAATACCACATTTGATTTTTTTAAACATGTTTTAGTTTAAAAACTTAATGATTTGTTGGTTGTTATTACTTGAATGCTATATTTTCTTTAGACACTGTATTGTTTGTTCATAATCATTTAATTCCAACTGCGCTAAAACAGACCATGTAATAAAACAAAACTTTATACAGTATATCTTCCCACTTCCATTCTCTTGATGACCCTAAAGAATAAAAAATCACAATTAAAGTTATGTTCCTTGCATCAGCCCTTGTAAATGAAGCATTCGAGGGAAATTTTATCATTTGTAGGAATGTTTTGTTTTTCAGACTGATAGGTAACATTCTATATAGACCTTGTATCTGAAAAAGAAATACAGTGAAAAACAACTGCTGCTAAAAATATTTGGTGATATGATTACAGATAGTCCTTGACTTACAACAGTTCATTTACTGACCACTCAAAGATACGTCATTGAAAAAAGTGACTTATGACAATTTTCCTCAGTTACAACTGTTGCAGCATCCCCATGGTTATGTGATCAAAATTCACATGCTTGACAACTGACTCATACTTATGATGGTTGCAGTGTCCCAGTGTCATTGATCACCTTTTTTTACCTTCAGACAATGGGGAAGACAGATTCATTTAACAAACATGTTACTAACTTAACAACTGCAGTGATTCACTTAACAAATGTGGCAAAAAGGTCGTAAAATGGGATAAAACCTACTTAACAAATATCTCACTTAGCAACAGAAAGTTTGGGCTCAACTGAGGCCATAAATCAAGGACTGCCTATAGTTATTGTAAAATTAAAGCACATATATCAAAATAAGAATTTGAACTTGTTTGATTAAGTACATCTTCATATTGTTATCTAAATTAGAACTTCAACAATTTCACTGGATTACCTTAAATGTCTACATTTGACTGTTTACAAATATCTAAATCATCTCTGAATAGTCTAGGGGAGGATTTGGGACAACTAAAACAGTTATTATTTAACAGGAATATTCTTGGCTACCAGTTATGCAATATAGGCTGAAAGAGGACAAATCCTGACATCTCATAGCCAGGAATAATATGTTTTTCAGATGGCCAGATTCCAAACTTCTTTTTCACAAACAGTCTGGACTGATGAAAAAGTATGAGCATCCTGTGAATTCTCTATTTCTTTTTTATCTTTAAAATTCCTTAGTCTAAGAAATCTAAAACAACTGATCTATAATCAATTACCTATTTAGTTCCCCATATATTTTTTCTGCTAGTAGCTACTCAACTATACTTGCATGAAAGACTGAAAGCTATAATCCTTTTTAAAGCTACAGTATGTAGTGATTAGTGAACTAGGTTGCAAACTAGGTTGCAGAACAGCTGAAGGCTTTGTTAGGTTTTTGATTTTATTGTTTGTGCTGCCAAGCTGTCATTCAAACCAGAGAAAGCAACTGTTTTGAAAGCTAGCATTCAGACAAATTAGCTGAGATCCACTTTATGCTTGCACTGACAGAAGCCAATCCAGCCAGAAGCATTGTACTTTAACAGACCACCTGGCAGAACAAACATGATTCATTGTCTCTACAGCACGCTAAAAGATGTGACATTCCTTTATAATTGTCCTTATGGCCTGAAATAAAAAAAGCTGGAATTATTACAGTAGAGAAACTCTTGTGTTTCTGATGATATTCATGGTAATATGACTCTAAACATTAAATGTAATTTTTATAGAAAGAACTGTATAGTTCTATAGTCTGCAAATTAATTAATTATTCATTAATACAATGTTGAAATCATTTGTTTAGCAGTTGAGCTAATAAAAAGAAACTATAAATTAATATATTAATGATATATTTTATATCATTAACAACATAACAAAATTATCTACTATGGTTCCTCATTACTTTAAAATCAATTATTCTTATTGAATACTATTCGGAGAAACCTGGCATTCTAAGACCAAATAGGTCTTAAGTATTGCTTAAATATTTTAAATCTCTTAATTCATGAGGTAGAAATATGTATTATAGATGTCTTCAGAAATTTCTCTGACCACTTAGTGGAAAGATCTGCTAAGATCTCTTTAAAAGATCCGTGCAAAAATGTCTTCCTTTACTGAAATATGAGAAGGGAATCATAGGTCAGTGACCAGGAAGGAAATCAGATAGATAGGTTTGCTGGCTGGCTATACAGATAGAAGAAATTCCTAACTTCTTCTAATAAAATTCTTTGTCAAAGTAATGATTTTGTAAAAACAAGATCTCTTGAACATCTCTTAGCCAGATAGGGGATGTGATGTAGAACTCAAGCAAATTGATCAAGCATACTAATATCTAATCCCCTGTTGACTGGCGATTTCGCCCACTGATTTAAATGTAGATGTTAAACAGGAGTCTCTTTCTCTCCTTCTTCCCATTCCATCACCACCAATTGGAACTGGCTGTGGAAAAAGAATGAGAACTACCACCACATTGTGTCTCTCCCTCTGCCTCCTCCTTCCTTTACCTACATTTGGTCCAGAAAGATAACATGATCAGTGTTATCGAAAGCTGCTGAGAACCAGGACAATTGCACCATCTTTATCCCAACTCTGCCATAGGTCATTAATAGGGGTGATCAATGCCATCTCCATTCTATATCCTGGTCTGAATCCTGATTAAAAATGGTCTAGATTCACTTCATCTTAGTCCCTTTAAGCTGAAATCTTAACATGAAGATTGGAGAAATTGTTCAGACCAGCGACTGCTTCTTGAGGAGAGGGATGAGCCATTCCCTTACTCAAGGGTGCATTCATTACCACATGGACCCAGCCACACAACCTTAAATAGTCAGCTGGGTCATGAGTTTAAAGGATAAGTGGCCAAATTAATTGCACCAAATATCTATCTCCTCGGGATTTACAGGGTTAAACATATATCAGTTAGTAGAACAAGACCATGCCTTAGTCCATCGGCTCCCCAACCTTTTGGACACCAGGGACTGGTTCCCTGGAGGGAGGTTTTTCTGTGGACCGGAGGGGGCATGGTTTTGCATGCTGCCTGCGTCCCATGGATGGGGTTCCGCCTGTTTGGGTGGCTCAGTTTCTGGCATGCCATGGACTAAGGTGGGTCCACAAACGGGGGGTTGGGGTTGGGGATCCCTATCTTAGTTAATTCACATGCAATTATCCAGGCAGAGTCAAACTCTGAGTAGATTCGAGCAACTTTATCTGCCAAGTGCCTGAAATATTTCTCATAGTGGCCTTGTGGTTATTCCTGTGATTCCTCCCTCCTCAACAGAATGTGTCACTCTATACAAGGCCACTGGTTGGCTACTCCCTGGTGTAATAAGAATGGAAAAAATAACCATGTTTTGCTGCTCTTCTTGCCATAATGTAATCCCTAATGCGGCCCTTACACATGTTTAACTGGATTAAACTTGATTAACTGTATTTTATGTCAATAGTTTGCTGAATATTATCCAAAACAGGTTTGTGTTAGAAATGGAAGATTTCTTACAATTACTAATGTGAGAATGCATTCACAGAGTTTCTTTTATAAGATCCTGCATATAATTTATTATGTACACTTGAACTGAGACTAAAATTCAATAATCCATAATATTCCACACTGTCTGTTGCATGAATTGGCCTTGGATGCTACCACTGAAACGTGAGACCAGGAACAGTTAAGTATTATTTGTCAGAGATAATAAAATTTATAAATTCTTCAATAATGTCCAAACATATTATAAGAAGAGCTGGCCTTTAACATGGGAAAAATTGGCAAGGTTGCAAGCTTAACAGAACTGTAATACAATAATATATTTTTTAATTTTAATCATTTGTAAATTAAGCTGGCAATTGGAAATAGGTCTTTAACTATCATTTATAGACAACTTGAATAGGCCTATAGAATGTTTTTACTTTCTTTTTCCCTAGAGTATAATAATAGATTTATTTTAGTAGGTTATGTAAGGATAAAGGAGTCCCTGCGGATTTTACTCCGCTAGTTGTAGCTGACTATACAGTGTGGTGTTTGTCTCTGTTTCAAAGCCACTGAGCCAGCGGTGCCTGAAGATGTTTCCGTGGTCATGATTTTAGTAGGTTACTGATGAATAATTATTCTCCCCACTATTATTTATTTGTTTGTAACTAGATCCGAACTCAATAAAACTTCCTTTAGGAGAATTTCAATTTATATCTTCTGTTTATAATAATAAAATGCAAGGACCATTAATATTCATAAGAATCATAAAAATGCATTACCCAGATATAATGTATTTTGTTAATGTTTTACGCATACAATGTTTTGCATTAAGAAAATTATCATGTCAGAAAAGAGTTTAGCCCTTTACATAGTATTGCAATCACTATCATTTTGTATAAATGTTTTAACTGAATGATATCGGTTTATCGAGAAATATTATCTACTGTTAGCTATCCAATGCCTCTTGCATTACATTTCATTTCTGTGAAGACTTACTTGATGTGAAAATAACTTATCCTTGCTCTCTATGTTGTGTTCTAAGCAATAGAGAAAGAGCTGAAAAATCAAATCTTTTTAAAAAATCCTGCGATTCTTTCCACGCCACTTCATCAAAATGCCTTCTTATGTGCAACATACTTTGCAAAGGAAAAAAAATACAGATCATTGCAAAGATGAAGGGAGCCATTAGCAGCAGGAGAGTCTAGCTAATTACCATTTAAGCAGGCAGACCTACTAACTCCAGACTTTGAGCTGATACTCTAACCATGTTCAAAACTGTCATTTATCTGGAATTAGCAACATGATCAGCCACAGGCTAGTTCACGCTGAGCTCATTTCCACCAATTATGCCCTTCTCACAATAAAAAGATTTGTCTCTACTCCACAGAAAGCAGTAGCATGATACTATACCAAATCAATTTCTAAGAAGATTTTAACGAGTGCTTCAAAATCATTTGATGGTTTTATAACAATCACAAAAACATTTGTAAAGAATTAGATGATTTCTAAGCCAAGCAGTTAATATGTTGATTAATGGAGAAGAAAGGGGAATGCCTGAGTGTGTAAGATCCTACTTTGACCAAGAGGGTTCTTCTATGACTTTTATCAAGAAGTTCTATAAAAAAATCATATATTCTGTGCTAAGTAGGTGAGATAACTTCACCAAGCAGACTCCATGAAAATATATCTTGTGTGTGAATTCATAATAATGAGAGACAGTTGAGGGAATGGGTTGATTTCCTCTGTTTATGTTTTACTTTAAAATATTTAAGTGTGTTTTAAATGAAAAAACTGAAAAATACTTTTAGGTGAATCAAATATACTGTAATTGATTTGGGGATGTATATGTTTTCAGTGCTACTTATATGATGGGTTTTTTTTGTGTGCAGGGATAAAAATTATGGTCACTTCTAATTGAAAATATCAAAAAGGATTCAGACTTATTAAATCAGTACAGGTAGTCCTTGCCTTACAACAATTCATTTAGTGACCATTAGAAGTTATAACGGAACTGAAAAAAGTGATATGACAGTTTTTCATACTTATGACCGTTGCAGTATCCCCATGATCATGTGATCAAAATTCAGATGCTTGGCAACTGACTCATATTTATGACAGCTGCAGTGCTTTGGGTTATGTGATCAGCTTCTACGACCTTCTGACAAACAAAGTCAATGGGGAAACCAGATTCACTTAACAACCATGTAATTAACTTTGCAACTGCAGTGATTCATGTAACAACTGTGGGGCAAAACTCACTTAACAAATGTTTCACTTAGCAACAGAAATTTTGGACTCACTTGTGTTCATAAGTAAAGGACTACCTGTAGTTGCCAGTTACATCATTGAAAATAAATGATTCACCAAATAATTTAAATCTGGTACATCAGGTGATGGCAGTTCACAAAACATCATCAGCATGAGAAAGAAAGAGAAATAAGACTTTTTCTGTCAAAGTAATTTGATCAATAAACCCACATACAATATACATATGCATATATGTACATAAAAGTTTTTCTCGGTGCTCACTATATTTCTGCTAACACCTAAAAATGTTAATTTTATAACTTAATACAACTGCATAAGTTGCTTACTACACTGATACTAATTTTTAGTTTATTAATTCATTAGATGAATATGCTAGTTTTCTCTGGGGGCTCAGGGTGGTGTGCACAGCGCCCTCTCTCCTATTTTTCTACCCTTTTAAACCTTTGTTTAAAATTTTATTTAAAAAATATTACAATATTAAAAATAGTCCAAATGTTTGTTTAAAACAATGGGACCAAAACAAATACAGGTTTAAAGTATATTTAACACACATCATAAACCTTGTTCCTTGGATCCTGGTCTTTGTTATTTTCAAACCAATTGAAACAAACAATATAACCCTGATCTAGAAATTTCAATGGTTGGATGTTCACAGCACGCAAAACCAAAGTCAACCATACTATGGTGAAATATTTTCTGTTATGAAAATTGTTAATTTTAACATTGTTTCAGAAGCAGACATATCCAGAGGTTAAAAGGCTGGAAAAGTTTCATATACTTATCTCTTCATTAACTGAAATCAATAAATCAATGGATTTAAAAAGAAAACCAATATCCTTAACTTGATTTCCTCAAGTAGTTACTTATATAGAGACATTTATGGGGTTTTGGCCTTGCACAGAACAACATGTGAACTTTCTAAGATTAGACAATAAACATTTTAGCAGGAAATCTGTACCAAGAGCTCATTGGACATGACTCATGTCATCCGAGAGTTTATTCTCAATAAGGAAATAATAAACAAGAGCAGGTTATAAAGATATAAAAGGAGAAGCAAATATTGTATAACAAAGAATAACAAGTATGAAAATAGAATTAATCCCAGTTTTGACAATGAATATATTCTCATGGAGAACTATGTGTAAGTATCACTAAAAGAAAAGGCCATGCCACTGGGAAGTGCTTTCTCATCTGCTTTTCCATCTGGTGGAGAAGATGAATCAAAGTGATTAATCAGAATAGAGCTGGAAGGGACCTTGGCGATCTTCTTGTCCAACCCCGTTCTATTACATAATAATGTAATTATTACATTATTGTAATTACTATTACATTATTACATCTTATTAGTATTAATGTAATAAGTATTACATTATTATTATCTCTATTACACAATAATGTAATAATAATGTTAAATTCTATTACACAAATAGAACTTAGATGGATTGACCTACATTATCTATAGAGTTTTAGTGACTTTGGTTTTGACATTCTTGCCTATAATATAGATAGAACATTATTTGAGTGCTTGATGAATCCAAGGTATGATGGAGCCTATCAATATAGTGATGACCGAAATAAATCGAAACTCAAAAATACAAAGAAAGAAATTACGCTGCAGAAAAAAGTAAAGGAAGAAAAGGAAATAATTGTTTTCTTTTTGTTAAAATATAACCAAATGAAAAGTTTTAAAATGTTTTCCACTTACTTTCCAATAGCATTGGGCAGAACTGTGAGTTGATTGTCATCTACTTTCAAAGTAGTAAGTCTTTTCAAGAGCCCTGGAGAGAGAAGAGAGAGGAGAGAGGAGAGAGGAGAGAGGAGAGAGGGGTATTGTTAAATAGTTGGTTAATGTTTCTTAACACTGGTTAAGAGAGTTAGAATAAAAGGGATAGTGCAAGCAAATACTACATTTGTTTTGCAATGCAAAGTGCAGTTTTTGTGTTTGGTAGTTCTGAGTACTATATTATGATGCCTATTAAAAATGTATGAACAGAAGTGACTTGAAATAACAGGATTGAAAGAGAGAGAGAAACACACAGACAGAATCTGACAGATCAACTGAAAGTGTTCTTTTCCATAGATAAACCAAAGATACTTCAATTTTTGCTGCTGACAATACAGTGCATCTAAATTAATTGACATCCATTTAAATTGATTCCTACACTATGCCTTTTAAAATGCAGTTTGAAAGTTATATTTGAAGATGTTAATTTTACATACTGTGAGAATAATTATTCTTGGTGACATCTTCTAAATGAAATTACTATATCTATTGTAAGATACATTATGAAACAAAAATATTAACGCTATTGAAAACTTATAAGAAACATACTCAAGCATGAGTTGTCACGTAGGAAAATGATATACTGAGCAAAATGAATGCATTTTTATTACACTTTGAAGCATGACATGAAGATTTGTTTTCTTGAACTTTAATGTAAGAGCAGTATATAATTTTCAAGTTAAAGTTGCTTATGCTTACTGGTTTTTTCTTTACTATTGAGACGAATCTAAATGAATTTCATCTATTACCCCAACCCAATTCCAGAGTAGTCATTATTTAGTCAATACCTATAGAATCTGGCAGTTGTTGTAGCATATTTGATGACAATAGTAGATCTTCAAGGGCTTCACATCCTGATATGTCCAGATCTATACTTTCTATCCTATTTTTTGACATATCCAAGTATATCAGTTGTTTTAATCGTCCTATAGACTTGATAAGATTACATAAGAATATAGTTAGTTGATTCAACTATTCATTGCAGTTACTAATATTTAACACAGTAATACACTACAAACTTAAAAGTTAATGAACAGGCAATTTCAATTTATTGAAGCAAAATGTCTTGATGTCTCATTGATCTGATTAAATGAAAATACCAACCAAAATATATTCTAATTTTTTTTTGTTTGAAGCTATAGTTATTAAGTCTTAAATATTTTGTGTAACTTCCATGTGAGGCAAAGGTGATCATAAAAGACCATAATATACTTCCACCTATGGCCTGCTGAATGTAGCTCTCTAAATAATGGACCTGTAATATGTCCTCTCTACCGGAACTAGTGGAAAGGGCAGATGAAATCTGGGAGACAGTCCATCAAGTAACCTGGTCCCCATGCAATGGAGGGCTTTAAAGGTCAACATCAGCACCTTGAATTGGACCCAATCGTAACATGGGTTCTTCCAGAAACATACATAATTCCTCATGCCACTGCATTTTGCACCTCCTGAAGTTTCTACATATGCTTCAAGGGCAGCCCGTTGTATAGCGCATTGCAGTAATTCAACTAGGAAGTGACCAGAGCATGAGTGACTGTGAGTAGAGCTCCTCACTCTAGGAATGGGCACAAGTGACACACAACAGAAAGTTGTGCAAAGGCCCTCCTAACCAATATGGGGGATATATCAGAACAGGCATGCTGCATGCCCTTCTATGTTATTGGAAGGCACCAAACACATAGTCTATTTATTCATTTATATTAGATTAAGGTACACATTTTGGTAAGCATTCTGGTCTCTTTGATACTACAGTATAATGTTGTGTCCTTACAAATGGCAGTAACTGTTGCAGACTCAAAATAGTATAATCAGCTCATTATTTAAATCTGGAAAACCTGGTCTCATCTAAAACGATGGACCTTTGACAAACATATCCAGCATGATTTAATCAAAGCTCCAACTTTGTTTGTATTGCCTTTCTATGGAAGACTGCTCTCTTATATTAAATATTTAGCAAATATTCCTTGCTCAGCTCACAAAACGGCTTTTATTCTCTACTGCTATATACAGTAGTGATATTGATCTTGTTAAAAAAACATGGTCATAATTTTCCTGTCAAAGTCCTTACTCGGTAGAGAAAATAAACAATTTGTCATGTGCTCTTGGTGTTGTCCTTTTTGAACAGCATGGCAAGCTGAATTAATAACAATTCTTAATCTGCACTCATGCTAATTTGGAGATTATTTGCTTCATTTTACGTAGTTAAATATCTCCAGAAACATCACTAAATTTGTTGCAGTTGACATTCTTTTGGCCTTATGGACATAATAAAGATTTATTTGATTTTCAATTGCCATAGTTACCGATCTAACAATTTTGGTAATTTGCTTCTCCTTTTAAAATTTACTCTTTTATGCCGATCTATTCTTTTATTAATTTCTCTTTGTTTTCATATGAGTGTTTCTTCGTTCTTCCTTTGGATTTATGTACTTTTACTGTTAAATCTATATATTACTGAAATTCTCCTTTTTGACTGTGTGTAACCTTTAACTAGGTGAAATGGTCCATTGTAGGGCAATAATTTCTAAACCAAAGTACCTCAAATAGGCTAAATTATAGAATGTGTCCAAAATACAGAAGCCAGATTCTGGTGGAATAGAAATTGGGCAAATTCTATAATATATTTTGTAAAATAAAAGTCAATGAATATTTTATGATATAATAAAAACGTCTCAAAAATTTCCTGTGGTTAACTTGATGTTTGACTGTGCTACACAGTTCAACATGGGCTATTTTCAAGGCAAATACATGTGTCAATATCTCCCTGAATTTTTAAGAACTTTTTCAGTGAAGGCAGTACCAAAATAACTTCAATAAAGAAAAATGATCTGCACTTCCAAAATATATTTATTATACAATTCTGCAATATTATATAGTTCATGTGTACATATATGTATATACAGCCATACCCCAGGTAATGTTTGAAGTGAATTGTTGTCCATCCATAATTCTTTTAGGTTTTGTATTTGTTCCAGAACTTCAGGCTGTAAAAAACATGTTTTATGTAAACATACACTTTTAAGTGATTATTACATTAAATATTATTGAAATTTCATATTTTGATTTACAAATGGTTTAATTAGTCTATACCTCAGTTGGTCAACCAAGCACCAATCTGACACTCATTAGAACTGGGAGGAAAAGTTAGCAGCCCAAATAACAATAGGTCTGCTATAGATTGGGATAAGAATTTTACAAACTCTAAACTTTTAAATATTATGAGTTATAGAAAGTATAAGCCTTTATTTTAGTACTTTCCCACATTATCCCACAAAACGTACAGCACTAGGTACAATAAATATTATGAGTTATAGAAAGTATAAGCCTTTATTTTAGTACTTTCCCACATTATCCCACAAAACGTACAGCACTAGGTACAATAAAAAAAGAATATCTAGTTATATTTCTGATTCTCCTATTATCTTCTAAAAAAAGGTTCACAGACAGAAATAGATCCACATCACCCCATAGCTGATTTTTTAAAGTCATCTACACAGAACAGAAATTTATTCAACTTTCAGAGGAAACTAAATAGTGCAGTAACTTTTTTCCTCAGGGGAGCAAATTTGCCTTAAAGAGAATAAGAATATGGATCACTAGACTGAGGGTTTGTATATTAAATGATTGCTTCTTTTAGAATGGTTATTTTGTTTGTTTTTGAACAAATGTTCCTTACCAGCTCAGAAAATTCATTATTACCCAGGTCAAGCCTCTCCAGCTGGGTCAGTTTGTGCATTGACCTACAAAAAAGCAAAGACAATTATAAGCATTTTATCTAATAATAAATTTAATAAATCTACAGCAGTGATGGCGAACCTTTTAGAGACCGAGTGCCCAAACTGCAACCCAAAACCCACTTATTTATCGCCAGGTGCCAGGTGGGCGTGGCCCACTGGATGGGCATGGCTGTGGTGGTCATGGCAGATTGGGTGGGTGTGGCCAAGGTGGGCATGGTCACCTCAATGTTGCTTGTGGGGAGGGACGCCTGTGGGGGGTGGGCAGGGTTGGGGGGGATCCAGGGGGTCTCTGGCAGGTGCGGTGATAGGCAGGAGGCTCGTCCTGCAGGGTGAGGCGAGGCAGGGCGGCTGCTGCCTGACACCATCGGCCCCCGCACACAGAGGCCAGCGAGTGCATGCGGGCCAACGGTGTCCGTCAACAGCCACAGCCTACTGGCCCCTCGACCGGTGCACTCTGTGGCTCCACAGCCCGCCGCCAGCAGTTCAGAGAAGCCACCTCTGAGCTGGACGGATGGCCGACAGCTGAGGAGGCAATGTAGTGGGTCGTGCCTGGGAAAAGGAGAGCATGCGAGGCCAGGAGGGATGGGATGGGGGGGAGGGAAACCAGCCATGCTGGGATGCATCTGGCCACGTGGGACCTCGGTGAGTTAGCAGGCGGCTGGTTGAAGAGGGACAGTTGCCATCTCCGAGACATGGCCCGCGTGCCCACAGAGAGGGCTCTGAGTGCCGCCTCTGGCACGCGTGCCATAGGTTCGCCCCCACTGATCTACAGTATGCAAAATGATAAGGCATGCATTGTTATTCACATAGTTAAATCTAAAAAAGTCATAGCAGTCAGCAATTTTTTTGTCCAATGAAGAAATTGCTGCTTTTATTATAAAAGTACTTTTGGGCACACAATTTTATTATGGATCGAAGATCTCCAGAGCTTAAAATATATGATATTGTGTGAATTAGCTTTCATTTTATTTAAACTGAGATTTTAAATCTGTACATTTCCCCAAAAGTTAGACCCAGCCCGATAGTAAGCCCTAGCTTGATTTTTGGGGGTGGGCCTAATATAAGCCCTACTCCAAAATTAAACCCTAGTTTCGGATCGAGAAGCACCCCTAAAAATCAAGCTAAGACAGGGTAGGGGGGTGAAGCTGCCCCACGCGCCTTGCACCCGCTTACCTTACTGGTAGGACCACCATAGCCAGGCCTCCCATACCGCGACACCTGTGTCGCTACTTTTTTTCTGCGGCCACTTGCTGCCACTTGTGGTCAGTCGCCATGTGGTGCATTGCACAATTGCCATTCCTCCCGGCAGGACGCCGCATGACACTTCGGGCCACTTCTGCTGCTTGCGCGGTTTGGGCTACTTCCACTGCTTGTGCGCTTTGGGCGCTTTTGCAGCGCTTCGGGCCACTTCTGTTGTTCATGCACTCTGAGTTGCTTCTGTTGCTTGCGGCAGGAGGCCATGTGGCGCTTCAGGCCGTTTCTGCTGTGGAAATAGCCCAATGAGCCATGTAGTGTCCTGCCGCGAGCAGCAGAAATGGCACAAAGCACCATGTAGTGTCCTGCTGGGAGGAGTGGCAATGGCACGATGCGCCACATGTCGTCTGGCCACAAGTGGTAGCAAGCGGCAGCAGAAGAAGTCAAGCAGCAGTGCGACAGGTGTTGGGGTCTGGGAGGCCTGGCTATGGTGATCCTAAGGTAACACATTCTCTGAAATTAAGACCTAGTGCCTCTTTTGAAGGCAAAAAAAATATAAGACCAGGTCTTAATTTTGGGGAAACACGGTAGAAGTATCAAAATTTGATCCTCTTCAAGGAACATTTTGATAAATGGAAAATTATTTCTGCAAACCCAATACTTGCATTTACCAAGAACATTCTGGATCAAAATGCTAGCATTTTCTAATAATGGACTGGAGAATTTTCCAGTACCAAAGTATTGAAAATATCCTATTAAATATATAATATGATTATGCTAAGCTCACTGTACATGAGCTATATGAACCCAGGTATAAAATCATATTTTGCAATATTGTAATACATATGCTAAATACTAAACATGTAATACCAATTATTCTGGCTTGTGAATTTTACACTGTTTCCCCATTATTGTTGGAGTAGCTTCAATATTAAACAATCAAGGCTAACTTCTGGCCAAACAATCAACACAAGACTTCAATAGTTGGATCAATTCTCCCAGTGATGTTGTCTAGATGCGTTGAACTTATGTATTGTAATTCTCTGCCAGAATGGACTTCAGATTATCTCAGAAAAAAATAGCAGGGAGAAAAAAACTAGTGTAAAATAGGATTGTAGAGAATATTGGTGCAAAAAGTTGAAAACTCTATCACCGTTTGACTTGGAAATTTATACAACTTATCTCTAATGAGTTTTGTATAGTTCAACTACTTTTATGTATCTGATACTGTCTGACTAACCCAATAATTTACATATTAGTAACATTTTTAAACACAATGAACAAGTCATATGAGAAGTCGTCTAAGAGGTACTCTCCTCCAAAAGGAAATTGATTTTAAAAAGTGAACCTATTATTCGTCCACATAAAGTAATATTTTCTGTTCTAAATTTCTCTTGATTTTACTCCATTCTGTTCCTTTTATTCCTTCTTGCAATGAGGCAATTAGCCACTGTTACAAACACATTAGTCTTTGCCTTATCGCTGGACATGGAAGGCTGCTCTTTCCCAATGTCTTCTCAATTTGGACAGTCATTAATAAAAAAAGAAATTAACTGATATGCAATGAAGCTTTATTTGCATCTTCAGAAGAGTAATATGTGTTAAGTTAGATTAATTATGAAAACTCTTTTACAAATAACTATGATCCTTCCTTCCTTCCTTCCTTCCTTCCTTCCTTCCTTCCTTCCTTCCTTCCTTCCTTCCTTCTCTTTCCTTGTTTTATTCATTACTGTTAAATTCACCAGGACAATAAGTGAAGCATTTATTTGGCATAAATCATTTATCTCAATGTTATATACCATTGCCTTTTATAATTACAAAATGGTTCTTTGACATTTCTTTGAGATACGGCCTTTTGAACAACAAACTATTTAGCATTATGGACAGTCAAACAATTATATAAGAGATAATCAATACTAACACTGCTCTAGATAAATACGGACCTCATAGTAAACAAATCAGAGAATTTTACCCTATCTTATTTTTAGACTGTGTATTCAGTCTTGGAAGAAAAAAAAAATCAAGGTAGGTACGATATGGCAGGCAAGAACTCCAGCAACAACACAAAAGAACTAGTGATCCAATGTTATGCACATGAACTTACAGGGAAGCCCAATTGAGTACTTGGGAACTTATGCAATATATACCGGGGTCACGAAACTGAAGAAGCAAGAAACACCTAGACCCTGAGACGGTTACTGTTGGATGAGCACTGATGAGACATATATAAATTATGAATCCTGCATGAAGGAACATTTTATTATGTAGGGCAGAAATGCGTAAAAGTGAAAAAGTACTGGATATAAATACATATGGTAATGTACCAAACTTTAAATACTATTACTCAGATGAAAACAGATTTTTTTTTTAAATTAAGACTTCTGGACATGCAATTAGAAAGGACTTATGGGTAACTGGTTTTATATATGGTATTATATATGGTAATTGCAACAAGGTTACTATATGTACAAATATGGAAAATAAAGACGTACCCACAACGGAGGATTGGATTGTGAAGATGGCAGAATTTGATGAGAGGGCAAAATTGACTTCTTTTTTTTTTAGTTAGGGAGAAAACAATAACTATTTTTATAAAAGAGTGGAACCTTTTTAATGGACTTTTTGCTGAATCTTTTAATGGACTTTTTGAAGAATCTTTTTATGGGCTTTTTGCCGAAAATAGATTTCTAGGTTTCCTGATTTAAATGGGTTATGGAAGAAAGGAACTATATAATGTAGTTTTGTAACTGCTGTAAAGAAGACTGGAAGCTGCTTCTTTAACTTTTCTTTCTCCTCTTTCTCTTTATTTCTAGCACTTCTCTTTTTTCTGCTTTTTTATTTTTTTGTTCTTGTTTATCTTTTAATAATGTAAAAATAAATCATTTAAAATTACTTAAACTTTCTTCTGAAAATATAGGAGATATTGAGAGCAAGGTAAACATATGCAATACCCAACTGTTTATGCTAAAATCCTAATCAGATCTATATTTTATGTTTTAAATCCACTGAGATGAATAAAGTTGTATTTCAAGAAACTGCTAGAATCAAGCAACACTAATATTATAAAACATAGATAAATATTTTACCTACAAATATTAGATGTAAGACAAAGAGGAATACAGAATTAGAGCAGTATCACTAAATTGGCAGGATTTGAAAGCATTCTTAAAATATTCATACACTACTAGCCAAAGTTCCACTTATATACTGAGTTGATTCAGAAGCCATGATAACTCATTACGAAGAAAGCTAATGAACCCAGACAATGTTGTCTCTTGTCTGCAGAACACTTGCAAATTTTCTTCTTTCCTATGTATAAATGTATTCTGCTGGACTGAGTGGACACTAGAAGTATTACTGCTAAGATTATCAGGATTGCTTATGACCATAGCCAGCGTCATGTTAGAGCCCATGGAATCTTATTTATACACCTACATGCCCTAAAGCTATGAGAAAAGTATTACACTAAAAGAGACTGAATTATGAAGGCCTATGAATCCCTCAAATACAATGAACATTCAGAGGCATTTCTCAGGGTTGACTTTTCATATGTCATACTAAGAAAAATATATCATATAATGACTTAGAATTATGTGTGCACCAGGAGTTATAAACTAATGAAAATGGCCACATATAACCATAATGAACCTCCACTGATAACAGTTATTCAAAATAGTCTCAAGCAGGTTTTATTCCACTGATTAAAAAAGAAACTCATTTTTATGTGGAACATTATCCCAAACTAAGTAAAATACTATTACTTGTTAATTGAGCTGTAATTTAAGAATTTATATGAAAAAGCTATCTAT